ATTGTGAAGATTAATAGGATTGTACATTCTCAAGAAGGGTACCTGAATAAATCGTAGAATTTTCAGGATGTAGTAGACTGATGCTGTAGGGTGTAGTAGGTGACGCACCGGGGTGTATACACGTGGTGAGATGAGTGTATCTGGACGCTTTACATGGAGAGGTGTAGGCGTTACCATGACGACCACATCAACAACGGCGTCTCCTCGTGGGTAGATTCTCCAGGCCGTCTCAGTTGTCCACTTACCTGGGCCCCCGCCTGTTGGCTCGCTCTGGTCGCTCACTGGCGGGCGAGCCACACGCACGTGCAGGTGCGTGGGTGTAGCGTGCGTGGCCGCTTTCAAACACCCGGGCATATAACCCGCGAGGCTGCTTCTGCACGCGCGTGTACACTGCATTCGAGGGCGATCACACTCAATTTTTGCTTAAAACGTGTGCCTCTCAGTCACACACACACACACACACACACACACACACACACACACACACACACACACACACACACACACATCCACCAGCCGTCCCGTGGAGACCTGACTGGGATGTTGAACTTGTAAAGTGATGCTCCGCAGCATCCCACACACTCCGCTAGCTCATCTCCACCGCCCCTGTTACCTAGCAGTAAAATAGGTACCTGGGTGTTAGTCAGCTGTCACGGGCTGCTTCCTGGGAGTGGAGACCTGGTCGAGGACCGGGCCGCGGGGACACTAAAAGCCCCGAAATCATCTCAAGATAACAAGATCTCTACACCATCATCCCCGTTACTCCTGTGAGGACCAACGGATCTCATCTGTAGCCAAGGTCAGTGCCAAGACTTGAAGTTGCCTTATCAGTCGGCGTACTATACACATGTTATCTTGAGATGAGATCTTGAGATGATTTCGGGACTTTAGTGTCCCCGCGGCCCGGTCCTCGACCAGGCCTCCATGTTGAAGAGAGTTGTAAGCAACTTTGCAATATAGTTATAATGATTAAATATAATTGTAAATTTTATTTAAGAATTATTAGTATGGCTGAGTTTATCTTTGATTCTTGTTAATGTGAGGTAATATATTATTGTCGTTTTCTCTCTCTCTCTCTCTCTCTCTCTCTCTCTCTCTCTCTCTCTCTCTCTCTCTCTCTCTCTCTCTCTCTCTCTCTCTCTCTCTCTCTCTCTCATTCTCTCTCTCTCTCTCATTCTCTCTACCAGTCTCTCTCATTCTCTCTACCAGTCTCTCTCATTCTCTCTACCAGTCTCTCTCATTCTCTCTACCAGTCTCTCTCATTCTCTCCCCACTCTCTCTCATTCTCTCTCATTCTATCTCTCATTCTATCTCTCATTCTATCTCTCATTCCATCTCTCATTCTCTCTCTCATTCTCTCTCTCTCATTCTCTCTCTCATTCTCTCTCTCATTCTCTCTCATTCTTTCTCTCTCATTCTCTCATTCTCTCTCATTCTCTCTTTCTCTCATTCTCTCTCTCTCTCTCTCTCTCTCTCTCTCTCTCTCTCTCTCTCTCTCTCTCTCTCTCTCTCTCTCTCTCTCTCATTCTCTCTCATTCTCTCTCATTCTCTCTCTCTCTCTCACTCTCACTCTCACTCTCACTCTCACTCTCACTCACTCTCTCTCACTCTCGCGCTGAATAATTAAGGTTCATTGCCTGCACTTTGTAATTAGCTGGAAAAAATTAAGATATAAATTTGTGTGATAGGATGTTATCATGTGGAAAACTCTTGTTCTTGCATGCAATGCAGAGCAAATCTCCTTGTTCTAGCTGGCTATCTTTGGGAACACTCTATGTTCTAGCTCGCTATATCGGGAAAATCTCCTCGTTGTAACGTGCTATCTTGGGAAAAACTTCTTGCAGCATGTTATCGTGGGGAAAACTCTTGGTTGTAGCATGCTATCTTGGGAAATTTGCTTGTATTATTTAAACTTTAGGAAAACCTTCAGTTGTTGCGGATATCTTGTGGAAAACCTCTCGTTGTATCCGGATAGCTTATGAAAACCTTTCGTTGAATCCGGATAGCTTGTGAAAACCTTTCGTTGAATCCGGATAGCTTATGAAAACCTTTCGTTGAATCCGGATAGCTTATGAAAACCTTTCGTTGTATCCGGATAGTTTATGAAAACCTTTCGTTTTAACCGGATATCTAGCGGGGGACTTTTAGTTACTTTAATACTTTGTATAGTTAATATGAGCACACACATTGGTTTGGTAACGAGAGCATAAATAACGATACATTACCTAAACATAGTTATAATTGAATGCCCTTTGAGACAATATACTTCTCCTGTGTTAGGAGGAAGTCTATGGATGGAATAGGCAGATGAGGTTCAGCGAAGATAGGCAGAAATGGGAGTTGCAAAATATGCAATAGAGGTTGCAGCAAAGAAAAAACATGTCAGGGAAGATTTAATAGTGAAAATATGAGAAACATATTTTTCAAACACGTATAAACAGGTCAAGGTGCAGTTTTATTGATTGTTCTCCTCAATGATTGTGTGGGGGAGGGGGTGTGGCGTCTATTGGAGGCGTGGGAGGTGGAGGGGGTGAGTAGGGATGAAAAGATTTTGTGTGGGGGGGTTGTGTGGGTGGGGAGTGTAAGTTGAGTTATGCTTTAAGGAGGTATTGGGGTTCGTTGATATATGTGGGGTTAGGATGTACGTGTTGAGAGGGAGGAACGAATGCGTGGGTGTTGATACTTGGAGGTGAGTGCGTGGGTGTTGATTGGTTAGGGATGATTGCAGGGTCATTGATTGGTATTGGGGGAGGGGAGGGGAGGGCGTGATAATTTGTAGGTGGCGGGTGGGGTGGGGGACTTGGTTGAGTTACAGCTTAGCCAGATACAGTCGTAACTCGGCCAGAAACAGTACAAACTTGGCCAGATACAGTCATAACTTGGCCAGATACAGTCATAACTTGGCCAGAAACAGACAAAACTCGGCCAGAAACAGTACAAACTTGGCCAGATACAGTACAAACTTGGCCAGATACAGTCATAACTTGGCCAGAAACAGTCAAAACTTGGCCAGATACAGTCATAACTTGGCCAGAAACAGTCAAAACTTGGCCAGATACAGTCATAACTTGGCCAGAAACAGTCAAAACTTGGCCAGATACAGTCATAACTTGGCCAGAAACAGACAAAACTCGGCCAGATACAGACATAAGTTGGCTAGATGCGACCATAACTTGGCCAGATCGTCATATCTTACGAAGATACAGTTAAAACTCGGCCAGGTACAGACAAAATTTGGCCAGATACAGTTAAAACTCGGCCAGGTACAGACAAAATTTGGCCAGATACAGTTAAAACTCGGCCAGGTACAGACAAAATTTGGCCAGATACAGTCAAAACTCGGCCAGGTACAGTCATAATGTATCCAGCTGTAGTCTAAACTTGTCTAGAGACAGTCATTTCAAGGCCACATACTTATAAACAGGTCTGATATAGCTCTTATTTGACTAAATTGAGTAAATACTCATTTAAAACACTTAATCATCATTGGGGGATCCAAACCCGAAACGAATGAACTACCTTTCCTGTATGATACCAGTTATACTACCATCTCTCTCAACTATAAGGCCAGCTTGGCCAGGTATTACTATATCTGGCCATAATAGCTATCCGGCTATTACCTGGCCAGATAGGATAAAAGATGAAGGCGCCAGCTGTAAACATACATAAAGTGAGACAAAAATGGCAAAATATTGATCGTGCATTAGGTATGATATGAAGGTATAATGATCGTTGGAAGTTTATTGAGATAGTAAAGCAAGCTCTCTCTCTCTCTCTCTCTCTCTCTCTCTCTCTCTCTCTCTCTCTCTCTCTCTCTCTCTCTCTCTCTCTCTCTCTCTCTCTCTCTCTCTCTCAGTAATAACGTCCAATGCCAACGCTCTGTTATTAGCGTCACCTTATTTTCATCTAACGATTCCTCTACCTCATTAGTTTTATCCTCCTCCCCATCTTCCTTCCCCCTCCTCTCCCTCCTCCCCCTCCTCCTCCTCTTCCCTTGCCAAGTTATTACACAGGGGATTTGACCATGCCCAGGGGGGACGAAGACAGGAGACCTGAGGGAACCTTTAAGAGGAATTGACTAAATTGATTATTTATATTTTATGGCCTAGCTTGCATGTAAGGGGAGAACAAGGGAGCATATGAGGGAGGAAGAGAGGGCAAAGGGGGCATAGAAAAGGAGGAACAGAGGGATGAGGAATCTATCTCTAGCTCTCTCTCTCTCTCTCTCTCTCTCTCTCTCTCTCTCTCTCTCTCTCTCTCTCTCTCTCTCTCTCACCTCCCAACCCTCTGGAAACACCACGAAGCAATTTCTCAAAACTTGCCAGAAGCCCCAGTCGCTAACATGCAGGTCGTGTGCCTCTGTCTGTCGCGTCACGCACACTGGAGTAGCCCTCACTGCCTCCAGGGCCGTGTCACGTCTCCACGTTTCAACGGAAATGGATTATTCTTCAAAACCAGTTTCACTTCAGTTCCCCCTCGAATTGCCTCATACCCCCCCCCCTCCCCCGGGCTGGTTTGTTAGAAGGATAAGTTGATTTTGACTTGAGATCGAACTTTCGTTTATGAGAGATAACGGATATACATTCTTCGTGTATGTGCTCGAGTGTTGATTGCTCTGCAACAATGACTGCTCTGCAACGCTACTTGGCCTACTGCATACAGTAAATATGGAGAGAGAGAGAGAGAGAGAGAGAGAGAGAGAGAGAGAGAGAGAGAGAGAGAGAGAGAGAGAGAGAGAGAGAGAGAGAGAGAGAGAGAGAGAGAGAGAGAGAGAGAGAGAGAGAGGGAGGGAGGGAGGGGGAGGCACCTCCCCTCTGATGAGAGACACTTCCTGTATCAACCCAGGTTGGCATTCAATCCCCGACCGTCCAAGTTGATGAGCACCATTCCTTACCCCCGTTCCATCCCTAAATCTTTATCCAGACCCCTTCCCAGTGCTTCACAGTCGCAACGGCTTGATGCTTTCTCCCTAATAGTTCCCTTCCTCTCCTGCAGCAAGTTGACCATGGTGTTGACGCTGAGAGTTCGCCTGCAGGAGACAGCCACGCTCCTCCTGTACCAGCAGGAGAACACCTCCGTCTGTACGCTCCACCAGGAGGCTCAGGAGTACATCAGGGAGTGGGACACTTATACCAAGGTAACTCTTGTCTACACCCGTCTGAGTATCACTGAGGAAGGATGCCTGCAAGAAGTTAAGTGGTGGAAAGAAAAGCTATTTACCGTCTTGCAGGTTTCTTTTTAACTTTATTTTTTAGCATTTTATTTTTCTAACTTGTTCTTATTTATATTCTTATTTATTTATTACATTTTCTTGTTATTCTCATTTTTTCTCTTATTCTTTCCTTGGATCTTATTCTTATCTTTCATTTTCTTTTTCTTTTATCTTATTGTTTTCATCTTATTATCTTTATCTCTCTCTTTCTTGCTCTCACCTTTCATGTCACTCGCATCCCTTATACTGCTTTCTCTTCCACTGTTTTTCCATTGCACGATTTGATCGTGCAATGGACAACTGGACGTTTCGGTCCAGTACAGACCGAAACGTCGCCTCTTCATTTTCAGTTATGGATTGGATATTAATTTTTCAGCCTCGTTTGCGTGCCTCGTCGTCTCTATATATATATATACATCCTGTTTCTAAATATGACATACAATACGTATATATGTAATATGTATGTCAGGCCCACTTTGACACAATACCTGATTATAAACAAACAGCACTTGTGGCCAATATTAGAGATTCAGCTTAATGACGAAAAATAACTTGACGGGAACGTGACCTCAGCTGTTCCTTGCTGCGACAGGGGAGGTTATTCATGCTATACCTTGACCTCTTGCAGAAACGGGACGGCCAGGCAGTGAGAACGAGAGAAGTCACCACTCAGTCCTTGCTCAAGTACTACGTTGACAAGACCACGCAAAAGTCTGCTGTCCAGTTTAAGGTATGAGGGAGAGAAAGAGAGAGATGGAGAGTGTGTGTATGTGAGAGAGACAGAGATATTTTGTGTGGCTGAACACGTAGCAATAAAAAGGTACTTGGAAGTATCTATTGTGGGTCGTATCCTGAAAAATATCCAGTTATTAGCTAAAGACACCTCGCTCGGCCTACCAGGCTTCCTGTCTCAAACAATAAGATCCTAAAGTGCAAAACACGATGAAGCATGAATCTACTCAAGTCACCCCTGTTCGGTTGATAATAACGTTTTCTCTAACGGCAGGACACTGGAAGCTGGGCAACGCAATGGGACATGTACGATGAATCGGAGAAGATCAAGTTAAATGGTAAATATAAACAAATACGTATGACAGATAGAGACAGAAAGCAGGCGACAAATAAAGATAAACAGCAGGAATACTAAATAAAGACATACAGGCAGGGGAAAATGACAAATAAATATTTAAAGCTAAGGATATGGGAAAATTAAATGACATTCACAGAGCACGGCAAAAGGCTATGGGTGACACTTATAATTCCAACTTTTTAGTCCTGAATATAGATCAAAATGCTTTCACGTTAGCAGGCTGCATGATCACTAATGTTCCATAATCATGCTCCATTACCACTACATGATCTTCCGTTAATAGGCTACCTGTCTACTATTGTTTTCCGTTAGCAGGTTACCTGTTTACTATAACGTTCTCCCTACAGGTTACCTGTTTACTTGACCAATCATCTCGCCCACAGCTCGACCAATCAGGCCAGCCGACATCATCGCCCGGAGGCGGTCCCAGCCGGCACTCCACTACTACGGAGACCTCACTCCTGTACGTCATTCTGTAGGTATCAGCCATCTTCCCTGAAGTGTCAAATTTATCCCCTTTGATGTGTTAGCCTTCCCACTGATGTTTCAGCCTTTCCCCTGATGTGTCAGTTCTTCCCCTAATGTGTCAGCCCTTCCTTTGACATGGTATGTACTTATCATATCTCTTCGTCGGCTTCTTCGTCAGCAGCGGGTGGAGGAGGTGGGTGGAGTGCGAGGGGTGGGTGTTGGCCGGCTCCTTCGAGGACTGGGGTGGGTGGAGCGACAACTCTCCTCCAGTGATAATCTTTCTCTCCTACACGCTTACTCCAGCGGCCGCCACCAGGTCAAGGAAGGTAAACACCATCCTTAGCTTCGGCAGCTTACTTTTCGTTCCAGAGAAAATTATGTTGTTGTCACATATTCGGTGTTGGTATCACATACGGTGATGTTAAATATGTAGTTGTCACATGTTCTGTGTCGCATATCATGTCAGCTTCACATTTAGTTGTCTAATATGTAATTCAGGTTTACCAGTTGCGTTCGCCAAAATGGGTTCTGAAACCGGGGATAAGAATCTAGTTTTGAGGTACCCAACAGGACGGTCGAGGATTTAATTGCCGACCTCAAAGAAGCGAGGCCGTCACCCTACCACCCTGTCTAAGTGGATAGGGACCATTCCGTTCCTCCATCCTATCCTAAATCCTTATCCTCAAATGCCTTCCAAGTGCTAAATGATCGTAATGGCTTTGTTCTGTCTCCGGATAATCACCTGACCTTACCTGTCAGGTCGGAAGGTGAGCATGTCATCGGACAAGGCCAGCATTGAGCGGCTCTGGGACTTCTCGTCTAACCGGACGCTGGGCCATCGCGTCAACTCTGTCACCTTCTGCAGGACCTCTCCGGTGTGTACTGGTGGATGGGTTGACTAACTGACTGACTGATTGATTGTTCTGACGTTTCACCTGCAGATTCGCTGGTATCAAATAATAATTTGGTCACTTGACCCTTACATCACAGTATATCACTTATCTCAAATGATATGCTTTATCCGTAAATTTAGATATATATCTTCAAATAATTTCATGCCCAAATAAATAATGTGGGGTATTTCTAATGTTATTAGCAGTCGTGATGTTTGCAGTGGTTGTGGGTAATAACATCAGTGGGTGGTGTTGACAAACAAGGCCCTAACACTGTTGATGTTGGCAGTGGCTGGTGCTGGCGACGTATGGATCCTTGAGCTTCACAGGTAACATCCAGGGATTCTTGGTCGGCTGGAACGTGAAGAAGATCCCCCAGCCGGAACTCTGGTGAGTCCTCGCTACGACTGGCCCTAATTTACTGATATGCAAAGGCGCTAAGCCAGATTGACTATATAACACATATAAGAGATAAGAAGACAGGATAGGAGCTGGGATAGGGAGACTGAGTGAAGGAAGGATGCCCAACCACTTGCATCATGGGGGATCGAACGCCAACCTGCAATTAGCGAGGCCGTAACTGCACGAGCCAGTCCAAGTGGCTAGGCCATATACTTCAAGGTAAACAGTCAATATTAAACAAAGAAATAAAACTAATGCCTGCGATATATATTGAGAAGTTGAAGTAACGGTAAATCTTATTTGATAAATTTACTATTTAATGAAGCAATATTCCTTCGTTTATTAAAACTTTTTTTTCGTTATTTAGTTTACATAATTTTTATCTTATCAAAATTATATTAACAAAATTTAGGCAGTGTACATTGCTATTAAATACTTCAGTTTTTTCCTAAATAACGAATGATTTATGTAAATAAGCAACAAAACCAAAGGTTTTAAATAATAATAATAATAATAATAATAATTAGTTTATTCATAATATCAGCAATTATAAAAGAAAGCACGAGTTAGGATCACATTACATTCGTCTTTTGTTCTAGCCCTGCGATCTTATACAGGCGGGTTTTGAAACAGAGACAGACAGACAGAGAGGTCACACTTGGCATGCGCTGCCATATTGGGAACTCTCGCATGGATCTACCCAAGGAGGTCAACATATGTAGATCAGCCACCAGTAACCCCAGTAACCCCTATCCAGGCTACTTCTGCTCCTTGTTCAAGCTACTTAACCTGCCTCTCCTTCAGTATTCTTTCCCAAGTTCCGGCCAGACTCCCCAGCACCCATAGTGACCCCTTGATTCTTCCCCTCAGGCTCCCCCAGCACCCATAGTGACCCCTTGATTCTTCCCCCCAGGCTTCCCAGCACCCATAGTGACCCCTTGATTCTTCCCCTAGGCTCCCCCAGCACCCATAGTGACCCCTTGATTCTTCCCCCCAGGCTTCCCCTGCCGGGGCCCGCCACTGTGGTCAGCTCTTGCCCCGCAGCGCCCCAGCTGTGTTGTGTTGCTCTTCTTGACGGTACACTGCTGGTGTACCAGCTGGATACCCCCGCCCCCCAGCTGGTCATGGACACCAGGTGAGTGTACCAGCTGGACAATTCCCTCTCCCATCTGGATATGGACGTCTAGTGAGTACTTTACAGCAAATTTCAAAACAAAATATTTTATAGAAAATGTAACTTTTTGGTACAGTAAATTTGTTTATTTTCTGATACAGTAAAACCTTTAGCAACATCCACATCGACTTTAGCAACATCCACACGGACTTTAGCAACATCCACACGGACTTTAGCAACATCCACACGGACTTTAGCAACATCCACACCCTCACTAGCAGCCCCGACGCCTAACTTACAGTTACCAATACCCACGCCCATTACACCACTCCCGACGCCCGTAGGCCGCCCACATGTAACTGAGACTGTGTGTGGCCCGCAGCGTGAGTGTGGAGAAGCACAGCTGCTCGGTGTGGGCGGTGGAGTGGCGGGACCCCCAAGTGGTCAGCAGCAGTGCCACGAAGAAGACCCTTACTCCTGCAGGAGACAGACCTCCCTCCTTCAGGCGTCTTGTTATTGATATGAAGGTAAGTGGTGTGTGAGTGGGGTGTGTAGGTGGGGTGTGGGGTGTGTAGGTGGGGAGTGGGTATATATATATATATATATATATATATATATATATATATGTATATATATAACTCTAGAACCCCGCCTCACACGGGAGACATCTCCCGTCACGCAGGGTGCAGTTGCACCTCCACAGATCTCCAGTATCAGCTCTTGATACTGGTAATGGCTCAAAAGGGCCTCCACTTACCGGCTATTCATGCCTGTGCCACCTTTTGGGTGGCTTAATCTTCATCAGTCACCCCGCCTCATAACTACTGTATCTGGTATGTTTATTCCGGCCGGCGTCCCAGTACAGCAACAAGCTTGCTCTTGAACCTGCTTCCATCACCTCTGATTCAAGATCATTCCCCCTTGAACAAATCCACAGAAGCCGTGATGAGGGTTCGAACCTACGCGTTGGGTGTTCTCAGATGCACGCTCTGGTCAACTACGCCAAATTCTGATAATGTGATTTCTCTGTGTGTCATTCCCTTTTTTACAACCGTGAATGCATATTAGTATTTCCTGACATTCTTCTAGTTCATCTGTGTTTCTAACGTTCACCTCTGACCCCTCATTCAGTTCTTCCTCACCTGGAAAATACTCCATCACCCTTTGTTTATTTCATTCTGTATCTGATACGTTGTGATCATATCACCACTGGTCTGTTCTAATGTCGGCATATTTAGTTCTCTTCGACTGTCCTCGAAGTGCATTTCTAATCTTTGGGACTTTTTTTGGGGGGGAGGGGGGAGGAGAACTTGTCTCATGTGTATTTTGAAGGATTCTTTGCCTAAGTTCTTAAAGACTAACCTTGTGTTTGTTAGTTTTGCTTAATTGATCTTATATTATGGGGTGTTAAGGCGAATGTAGCCTACACTTGCAGACTACATCTTTCTTGTAGCCAGATGTAGCCTACACTTGCAGACTACATCTTTCTTGTAGCCAGATGTAGCCTACACTTGCAGACTACATCTTTCTTGTAGCCAGATGTAGCCTACACTTGCAGACTACATCTTTCATGTAGCCAGATGTAGCCTACACTTGCAGACTACATCTTTCATGTAGCCAGATGTAGCCTACACTTGCAGACTACATCTTTCATGTAGCCAGATGTAGCCTACACTTTCAGACTACATCTTTCATGTAGCCAGATGTAGCCTACACTTGCAGACTACATCTTTCATGTAGCCAGATGTAGCCTACACTTGCAGACTACATCTTTCATGTAGCCAGATGTAGCCTACACTTTCAGACCACATCTTTTATGTAGCCAGATGTAGCCTATACTTGCAGACCACATCTTTTATGTAGCCAGATGTAGCCTACACTTGCAGACTACATCTTTCATGTAGCCAGATGTAGCCTACACTTTTTATTTTTGTGCAGCTGCCTCTCCTCGTATACTGTATCACCCTTCTTGTCTATTCTTCCCTTTCTCAAACTATATTACTTTTAAATTTGCCGAGATTAACCTCCAGAAGAGATTCATCCGCCCATACCTGCAGCTGTTTAGGTTGTCTTGTTGTGTCTGCGACCCTCGGATTTATCCACAGTATTCCGTCCTATGTAAACACTGTAATGTGCAAATCTGTCACATGCACAAGGTCATCTATATGAATTTTGAACAGTAGTTGTATAAGTACCGAGCCCTGTGGAAACCTCTTAGCTCCCCCTTGACACTGTCTCACTCCATTACCCTACAACAAACAATTGTTAGATGCACTCTAATCCAGTCCAGCATATTTCCAGTTACCTCAGTCTGATTTTCCAACCGAATCTGCCTTTTGTAGGGAATAATGTCAAAGGGTTTCTGGAAATTTATGGAAACGTAATACAATTAGCTTTCTTTCTCCTGCCGTGTCTTAGTGAACTTGTCATTGGACTCAGGACTTGTTATGTATCATGCTCTCCTTCAGCTGTACTGTGTAATCGAGCATAATGACACATTGATCACTTGCGCCAACTGGCTTCTCTTATCTTATCGCCTCAAGATATATTCCACTTCATTCTAAATGAACACGTGTTCATTTAGTTCAACAATGAAGTCTAGTGCTGCCAGTTCAACCTCTGCTCTCTCCTTCGTTGTGTGCGTCATGTACTAGTCCAAGAGTAACCTACCGTTAGTATCCACTAATTTCTCCCTCAACGGTAAACCTTCGTTACGCAATTTCACTTTGATTAAAATCAATGAGTAATAAGAGATTAGCTCCCAATATACTTACCACAATTCCTAAGCATTCTGTTACCTTTAGAAAATGTTCATTGCTCTCAACGTATTATTTCCTTGACTTCATGTTGTCAGCTGGTGGAATTATATGTAATCATAGCCTCTCTTCTCAATTGTTACCATGCCTATGAGGCAGTGCTGTGGATTAGCTACATCTCGCATGCATATTTTCTCACTTTTTAAATGAATCTTAACAGCAGTGGTACTCCCACTCTACTCCTCTTATTTTGATAAGATAAAAATTATCTTATTTCTGACTCTTATTTTGATAAGATAAAAATTATCTTATTTCTGACTCTTATTTTCTCTGGTCGCTTTATAGACCTCCCTAGGAAACACTGCATCCCCCAACGATGCTTGTAAATTAAGTTTCTGTAATTGCAATAATATATAGCTTCATTTCATTGTTGTACGGTCCATACCGGCACATTGTTATACGGTACGTCCTTTGTAAACGGGAGGCATCTCCCGTCACGCAGGGAGCAGTCGCACCTCCACAGATCTCCAGTATCATCTATTGATACTGGTAATGGGCCACCACTTACGGGCTATTCATGCCCGTGCCACCTTTTGGGTGGCTTAATCTTCATCAATCAATCAGTCCTTTGTACCGTGAATTAGAGGAGAATACCAACAAACTACAACAAAGCAGAATGTGGCTGTTTGCTACCAACTACTTCTAACGACAGTTAATCATTTGATAACCTAAATACTAACCATCGTCATACTGTTAACAGGGGACCCCTACAAGCGGGTCGGAGATCGCCTACGTGCTGATCTCAGCATCTGAGGACGGGACGGTGAAGGAATGGATCTTTATTAAGGGCACCATTCTCTGCTGCACCAGTAAGTTACCAAGCACCTGATGCTGCACCAGTAAGTTACCAAGCACCTGATGCTGTACCAGTAAGTTACCAAGCACCTGATGCTGCATCAGTAAGTTACCAAGCACCTGATGCTGTACCAGTAAGTTACCAAGCACCTGATGCTGCACCAGTATGTTACCAAGCACCTGATGCTGCACCAGTATGTTACCAAGCACCTGATGCTGCACCAGTAAGTTACCAAGCACCTGATGCTGCACCAGTAAGATACCAAGCACCTGATGCTGCACCAGTAAGTTACCAAGCACCTGATGCTGCACCAGTAAGTTACCAAGCACCTGATGCTGCATCAGTAAGTTACCAAGCACCTGATGCTGCACCAGTAAGTTACCAAGCACCTGATGCTGCACCAGTAAGTTACCAAGCACCTGATGCTGCACCAGTAAGTTACCAAGCACCTGATGCTGCACCAGTAAGTTACCAAGCACCTGATGCTGCACCAGTAAGTTACCAAGCACCTGATGCTGCACCAGTAAGTTACCAAGCACCTGATGCTGCACCAGTATGTTACCAAGCACCTGATGCTGCACCAGTAAGTTACCAAGCACCTGATGCTGCACCAGTATGTTACCAAGCACCTGATGCTGCACCAGTAAGTTACCAAGCACCTGATGCTGCACCAGTAAGTTACCGAGCACCTGATGCTGCACCAGTAAGTTACCAAGCACCTGATGCTGCACCAGTAAGTTACCAAGCACCTGATGCTGCATCACTGGTCACCTGCCACCTTCTGCTGTCCCCCACCCTGATGCCTCTGTTCACCTAGCAATAAAGTGCTGTGTTACTTCCTGGGTTAGGTCAGTAGTTAGCCGAAGGAGACTTCAATAAACTGAACAGGTTTCCTGTCACCTATAACTGGACACTGTAATAAATAATTTTTCTCCTTCATATTTTAATATGATTTATTACCTTTAAAAATCGAAGAAAAATGTATTGTTGTATAAAATTAATATTTAGAGATTGATTTTTTATTTTTGCAATAGCTCTTTTGAACGTTCGTCTTCCGCTTTGGTTGTCGCTGAGAATATGTGGAGGGTTGGAGGAGGTGCTGAACAGGCGGGGTGACTCTGCTGGAGAGGGAGGAGGAGGAGGTCCCCCTTCTGCTGTAGGGGGCCTTCCTCTGCCTCAGAAAGTTCCCGCCACTTCCATACACTTCCGACCAGGGGACAAGACTACTTATCTGGTGGGCACCGTTGCTGGAGACGTTCTGCTGGTGAGTAGCAAGGTTCCTGTAAAGCCTCAGTTGCCCCAATAGATCCCCATTGATAATACTAAATTCCCATCTATACCACTGCGTTTCCATCTATACCACTGCGTTCCTATCTATACCACTGCGTTCCCATCTATACCACTGCGTTCCTATCTACACAGGAGAGATATAAACTGGAGGACTTGCTATCTGTATCACTGAGTTCCTGTCGACACCACTGAGTTATTTCATTCCCGTCTTTCTTTATACATTTTCCGTCTCTACACAACGCTGTGTGTGTTTGTGTGTGTGAGAGAGAAAGAGAGAGAGAAAAAAAAAGAGAGAGAGAGAGAGAGAGAGAGAGAGAGAGAGAGAGAGAGAGAGAGAGAGAGAGAGAGAGAGAGAGAGAGAGAGAGAGAGAGAGAGAGAGAGAGAGAGACGAAAAGGAGGAGGACAGAAGATGGAAGAGTGCTTGTGTCAAAGAATGTATATTTACGTCATGTTTGAACTGTGCTGCTTACAGTGCCGGACGTTCGAGCGAGAGCGTGTAGGAGGTGTGTACGAGGGTCACACAGCCCTGGTGACAAGAGTGGAATGGCGCTCTACAGGAGACGACGCTAACTCTATCTTCCTCTCCGCCGCCCTCGACGACTCCATCAGAGTCTGGTACATCGATAAGCACGTCCCCATTTGCGTCCTCAAGTTGGTCGAGGTGGGTATTCCTAATGTTGGTTGGGGGTGTCCTCATGATGGCTAAGACGGGTGTTATTTGGCATGATGATCTATGTGGGTCCTCTGTGACCTCATGATGATCGAGGTGGGTGTTCTGAGTTCTCGTGAGAGATTGAGGTGTTTGCCTTGTGTTCTCAAGCTGATAAAAGCTTGTGTTCTGTGCCCTCGTGAGGGTCGCGGTGGGTGGTCTATGTCATGGAGATCAAGGCGAACATCCAGCTGAAATTAACTAGTATAGATTTATTATACGTACAGTATTTATTTGAAGAATTAAAGTCACGGATTCCTCATTTACCTAACATGCACATTTTGAATATGTTTATAAAGTGTTCACTCATACTATAATTCCTCATATATGCACGGATTCTTGGGGGGAGGGGGGGTTCAAGGTCTCATTAACCACATTCTCACTCCTCCTATCTTGGTATCGGATAGCTGGTGTCTGGCGGGTATGTGGACGCGTGCTGGTGTCCCTGGTATGGTAACCTTATCGCCGGCGTGCACAGCGGAGGACTGCACCTCTGGGACATCTCTCTCTCCACCCACACGCCCATTCTCACCTACCCACACCCAGGGGCCACCTGCGTCACCTTCAGCCCCCACACCAGGGTACGTTACATGCTAATGAATAATATCTGGATCTGAATTGCTCTACAAGTCCGCAATATATAACATTAAGGTGTATAACATCAACATGTCCATCCAACAACAGGGATATATGCAAAGGTGTAATCCCCTTCTCGATGTATATACAGTGAGACTTTAGTTCTGGCCTTAACAACCTTCCAGAGGTTGAGAGATCGTAAGCTCAGCCCATCCACGTGTTTCAGTAAAGCTGTTGGGGTTCCAGCAGTTGTTTTGGAGCCCCGGTTGGAATGTGTGTAGTGTTGTGTTTCTAACTGCTGTGTATTATTCCACAGAACGTAGTATTGGGCGACTCGGAGGGGCGTCTCAGCGTGATCCACCTGGAAGGACTCGAGATATCCGCCAGCATCTTTTTCAGGTACTCCACCAAAATCTCCAAGCTGGCTAAGATCGGTGTTATACCTGTAGAACCACCCACTTGAGGCCATCTGAGGAAACAGCTTAGGCGAATGTAACCTTACCGGAAGAAGACCACTCGAACGAGGGACATTGGTACAAGGTCATACGAGGGGGAATGTCACTCGAACAAGGTCATACGAAGGTCATGTCACTGAATTAAGTTTATACGAAGTTCAAGTTTGTGGAACATATTTATACTAAGGTCACGCCAATAAAACAAGATCATTAGGAGGCCTCGCCACTGGGATAAGGTCATACGAACATCACATCACTGGAATAATGCCCATCGAACCATCAAGTCACTGGAGCAAAATCATTTGAAGGGCACATCAATGGAACAAAGTCACATAACTGGAGCTAGGTCACACAAAAGTCAACAAGATCCCATACATACATATATATATCGGAAAATCTCTTCCCCGTGAAGGGTCCAAACTCGGACAGCCAAGCGCTCCATACACCTTAGCAAGTTTCTTGCTAAGACTGCTCCATACACCGTTGTTGTTGTTTAAGATTCAGCTTCTAGGAACAAAAAGTTCCAAGTAGCACGGGCTATGATGAGCCCGTATTGAACTTACCTGGCACAGGAGCGGGGTTGTAACTTGTGTCCATACACCGATTGATGAAGATTAAGCCACCCAAAAGGTGGCACGGGCATGAATAGCCCGTAAGTGGTGGCCCTTTTAAGCCATTACCAGTATCAAGAGCTGATACTGGAGATCTGTGGAGGTGCGAATGCACCCTGCGTGACGGGAGATGTCTCCCTTGTGAATGTGTTTAAGATGAAGATGAAGCCACCCAAAAGGTGGCACGGGCATGAATAGCCCGTAAGTGGTGGCCCTTTTGAGCCATCACCAGCATTAATAGATGAGTCCATACACCTTACCAAGTCTACTATTATACCCACTAGACCACAACTAACTGTTTGGAAGAACTGGAAGTTGTTTAAACTTAAAACCCAAATTCCCACCAGCACTCGGTGGCTAACGGGCACCAGCACTCGGTGGCTAACGGGCACCAGCACTCGGTGGCTAACGGGCACCAGCACTCGGTGGCTAACGGGCACCAGCACTCGGTGGCTAACGGGCACCAGCACTCGGTGGCTAACGGGCACCAGCACTCGGTGGCTAACGGGCACCAGCACTCGGTGGCTAACGGGCACCAGCACTCGGTGGCTAACGGGCACCAGCACTCGGTGGCTAACGGGCACCAGCACTCGGTGGCTAACGGGCACCAGCACTCGGTGGCTAACGGGCACCAGCACTCGGTGGCTAACGGGCACCAGCACTCGGTGGCTAACGGGCACCAGCACTCGGTGGCTAACGGGCACCAGCACTCGGTGGCTAACGGGCACCAGCACTCGGTGGCTAACGGGCACCAGCACTCGGTGGCTAACGGGCACCAGCACTCGGTGGCTAACGGGTACAAGCACTCGGTGGCTAACGGGCACAAGCACTCGGTGGCTAACGGGCACAAGCACTCGGTGGCTAACGGGCACCAGCACTCGGTGGCTAACGGGCACAGATCATTTTCATCGAGTCAAATCACAATGTTGGGATCACCATTTGGTCACCACTTGGTCCGGGAGACATCTCCCGTCACGCAGGGTGCAGTTGCGCCTCCACAGATCTCCAGTATCATCTTTTGATACTGGTAATGGCTCGAAAGGGCCACCACTTACGGGCTATTCATGCCCGTGCCACCTCTTGGGTGGCTTCATCTTCATCTTAAACACATTCACAAGGGAGACATCTCCCGTCATGCAGGGTGCATTCGCACCTCCACAGATCTCCAGTATCATCTTTTGATACTGGTAATGGCTCGAAAGGGCCACCACTTACGGGCTATTCATGCCCGTGCCACCTCTTGGGTGGCTTAATCTTCATCAATCAATCAATCAATGTTGGGATACCCAAGTATCATTTGTGGACGGTGGAGCGACGGCCTCGCTTCATGCAGGTCGGCGTTCAATCCCCGACCGTCCAAGTGGTTGGCCACCATTCCTTTCCCCCCGTCCCATCCCAAATCCTTATCCTGGCCCCTTCCAAGTGCTATATAGTCGTAAAGGCTTGGTGCTTTACCCCTGATAATTCCCTCCCTCCCTCTCATAATACAGAAATGTTGGATGGTCCCCATGACATATGCATCAGAAAAACTCTTCCCCGTGAAGGGTTCGAACCCTTCACGAGGAAGAGTTTTTCGATATCCTCCATAAAATCATGTAACGTGTATGAATACACTCTGGCTTCCTGTCCCCCAACATAGTGAATTATTATTATACACACATTCATTCATATTATATCATCATATGTATATACCGACGATATCAACACATAAGTGTAAATACAAAATCATTGTAGATATTTGACATTATCTTGAATATATTATGAACAAATCCACAAGGGCCGTGACGAGGGTTCGAACCTACGTCCAAGAGGATCCTTGTGGATTTGTTCATTTGATGCATTACGCTATTGTGATTTCTGTGTGTATTGAATATATTATATACAGCTTGACAATACTTGACATCTACCTTGAGGTTACCTTGAGGTGCTTCCGGGGCTTAGCGTCCCCGCGGCCCGGTCGTCGACCAGGCCTCCTGGTTGCTGGACTGATCAACCAGGCTGTTGGTTGATCTACACTAACATTGTTATAATATTTTTACCCAGAGACCATTAGATCACAGACTGTATCCTCACAACGACCATTGTTGGCGATGAGTCAATAACGTGGCTAAAGTACGTTGACCAGACCACACACTAGAAGGTGAAGGGACGACGACGTTTCGGTCCGTCCTGGACCATTCTCAAGACGATTGTGACTTGAGAATGGTCCAGGACGGACCGAAACGTCGTCGTCCCTTCACCTTCTAGTGTGTGGTCTGGTCAACGACCCTTGTCTTCTGGTTAATAATTTTCAACGTTTTTTGTTAATAAAATACTAATTTAGAGGTGATTTTAAGAGTCGATTTTATTACCCTATTTGTTATTTGTTTTGTTCTTTATTAACGTTGTCTCGGTAGCACACTTGGAATCTTTCTTGATTCGCAATCACGAATTCCCGGTTCGAATCCCGGGAGAGACAAAAATGGATGTGCATGTTTCCATCCACCTAATGCCACTGTTCATCTAGCAGTAAATAGGTACCCGGGAGTTAGGCAATTGTGGGGGTTACATCCTGGGAAGGGTCAGTTCCTCGACCAGGTAGGGATGAGGGGGGGGGGGAGGACCTCGATACAAGACGAAACTAATTAACCCAAATTAATCCAAACAAAACTAATTAAGAAATAGTTCTCAGAAGAAAGCACTAACCCGACATAACTATATAGCACTTGGAAGAGATATGAGGACAAGTAACTGTAGATAAGGAGGCGAAAGACGGCTTTCCCAGTTTTAATTGCCAAAAATACTTAATCCCAGGTAATGCAGACGAGGATTATGTAATATTCCTGGTAATATGTATAATACGAGGAGTTACAATAACGTGAGAGAAACACAGACCCAGGTAATGTCTGTGCAAGTGATATCCCCACTGTTGTTCTTGTTATAGATTCAGCTACTCTGAACAAGTTCCAAGTAGCACGGGCTATGGTGAGCCCGTAACTTACCTGGCACAGGAGCGGTGCTCGATCTTTGTCTCCCAACTGTTTTCTTCTGCAAATATATACCTCCTCCTTAGACTTTCCAAGAATAGGATGACGCTTTCGTTATATATATATATTTCTTAACATTTAGATACATCTGCATTTGTGCAACTACCCAAGACTATATGAACAGGGGGGGAAATACAATGTGTCAAAGAGCTAGCTACGTGGTGCTAAAAATCCCTATCACACAGGACGGTTAGTCATACAGAGGCATGTGATCAGTAGTCTGCACTGGCAGACTCTGGGTGCATTATGACTTTCGTTATAGCGGACAACAAACTAATTTAGGCAGCCTCAATTATGCTGGAATAGAATGAGAGTAAATTTGTCAAACATGAACGGTCATTGGACAATTTTAAGAACATAAGAATCAAGGAAATTACAGAAGACCTGTTGGCCCATACGTGGCAGCTTCTATTTATATCCACCCTAACTCATTCATCTGAATTTAGAAAAGACTTGAGTAATGCCGATTTGGAAACAAGGTCGTTAATTTATGGCACAGGTTATCGGGTAATATAATAGCCGTGGGATCACTGGATTGTTTCAAGCGTTGATTAGACATATCTATGAATGAGTTTGGGTGAATAGTTTTGGAGCTGCCATGTATGGGCAGTTGCTAGTAAGGTTTCTGCAGTTTTCTGAGGTTTTATGTACATATGTTTGTATATAATTTATATATATATATATTATATATATAAATTATATACAAACATATGTACATAAAACCTCAGAAAACTGCAGAAACCTTACTAGCAACTGCCCATACATGGCAGCTCCAAAACTATTCGTATATATATATAATTCGTATATATATATATTATATATATAATATATATATATATAATTCATATAATTATCATTATATATATAAAATATAATATATATATATATAATTTATAATATATATATATAATATATAAAATATATAATATTTATATAATTCGTATTACTATTTATTAATTATATATTGTTATTTATATAATTTTGATTAATATTTATATAATTTTGATTAGCATTTATATAATTATTTATCTTCACTATTAATGACACATGTAATTGATATTATTATTACGGCTGCACTTATAATTACATATTACGAGCATAATAATTAAAGAGATATGTTACTCATATATTAATTTTTAAAACCAAGAGTAGCAGGAAGTGAGGAAGCAACGAGACACCACAAACTATGACATTTTATTATGAAATAATGCGTTTTCGCCATTGTATTTATAAATATTGATTGATTGAAGAGAAAGAAATAGGACGAAGATGAATGAACACTCCAAATCTTGCTAATATATGTTGATGAGAAAATGTATACAAAGGAGAGAATAAAATTTCAACAATATTCTCTCTCATTTCGAATCTGTTTTCGATGAAATAGGGATGAAATTTTGTTATAAATGGGGAGTTTGGGTCACGTAAACAACTTTCAAACTTCGCGGTGAAAAAGTTTGTGTACTGTAAGCTGCTGCTACCTAGCGGTGATATGCGGCATAACTTGGCAATCCAGTGTTATTTTCAACGATTTTGATCCTCTCCCGCTGTCGCTCCGCATCATAGCTATTCCAGCAAGACGATAGACTATTTGGCTTGTGATGTGCGTGAAATCTGGGCAGTTTTAGTGATCAAATTAGGAATAATTGGGTCAAATCTTGTGCCATCCAACGGTTGACTCCGTGACTCCCAGAGTGCTTTGCGCTTGATAGTTTTAAACATGGCGGACACCTACAAACTTGGAGACCTAGTTTGGTAAGTTGGATTGCCGTTTTGTGACATTACTCTGCTATACCGCTGAAAGATGGCGCTGTCGATGAGTCAAGGAGGGTTCAATGATGGTTTGTGTTTGTCTCCCACAGGGCCAAGATGAAGGGTTTCTCTCCGTGGCCGGGTAAGGTGAGTGCCTGACGGGAGTATGGGACGCTAAGCTGGCCTGGATCTCCGGCCCGGCACCACCCCATAGCTCCTCGCTGGGGGTTGTGGCTTCTCCTTTCCCTCTCTCTTCTCTCCTCACTACACACCCCAGGACTCGCGGGTCTCTCACTGGCGAGAGTCGGGACTAGAGTCCAGTGTAGGAGTGTGTGGGGGGTGATATGTGTTATCTGACTGATGGGGGGAGTAGAAGGGATTTTTTCAGTGGTATGGTGTGAGGTGATAGGTGAAAATACAGTATACATTTTTACAACCTTCTTTGCCACTTATGTAGGTCGTTGTATTTGCTGTTTGGAGTGTTTTTATGGGTTTGATACCCTGTGAGCATTGGTTATTATTGAGAGGCATGATCACGGACTTGGTGTATGATTGTCACGCTGTGGAATATTTAACAGAATTTATTATAAAAGTACAATTTAAGTTTTCATTTTTTAAGTATTAAATTATAAAATGTATATAGTTATGAGTGGTATTTATTTGGCCGATTATAATGCAGTTGAGGTGGTAATCGTTCTTCATAATGGTACATGCAGTTTGCACGAAGGTTTTCTCCTTCCGATGATTACACAGTGGTGGTAATTGTAGGACTGTGCCTTGGCCAACGCTACTGTGTTTAGATTCAGAAAATCTTGCTCATCATTATGAGAAAAATGCAGACAGTGACGGGTGCCCACACTGCTGGTTTTGTAGGTAACAAGACCTCTTCGACCCAAATAAAGTCAACCTAAAATTGCACTATTCCCATGTTTGGTTTACCACACAGCATCCCTATTAAGTTTTTAAACTGATAATGCGATACTGGGAACATTTTATGTTTACGTTTCCTAAAAGTTTAGGTTTTCTTACCCAAAAGTTGTCCTCTCACTGCTGCAGTGTCATTTTATATTGTGTTTTGTGTAATTTTGATGACAAACTGACTTCTCTGAGATTTATATGAGAGATTAGGTATTTGATTTAAATGATTTCCCATTGTTGGGGGCAGGAAACCACCTAGGCTTATCGAGGTCCTTCTTAGGCCAAATCTAACCTTTCCCAGGAGGCAAAAAACACAAAAGTCGCCTAACTCTTTGTGTACTTATTTACTGCTAGGTGAACAGGGCAACAAGTAAAGGAAAGATGCCCAAATGCCTCTGTACTGCTGGGCCTCCAGCTTTGTGAACTGCACTGATTATTTTACACCACCTGTTGAATGTATTTTCATTTTTTTAAGGAGCCATATGTGAGGCACCACCATTTCTGTTACGGGCTGTTATAAATGTTAATTATTAAAGTATTAACAATTTTAGTAGCAAATTGAGTACTGTAATGTCAATAATTAACTAAAGTGTGTTAAGCTAGTGTTAAATCAACAGGGTGTAGTAAAAGAGTAATTGGGGCAAAATGTAACTAAAATGTACTCAATTATAAGTTTTAGAACAAATAATAACTGAAGCATACTAGTGAATTTTTAAAACCTTGTATCATTTCTTTGCATTTCTTTAAAGGGTCCTGGTAATACAGTCGAGTTCGTTCTCGACTCGCAATTGGGAATTCCGGGTTTGAATCCTGAAAAAGATTGCACACATTTCCTTTTACCTAATGCCTCTGTTTATCTAGTAGTAAACTGGTACCCAGGAGTTAGTCAACTCTTGTGGAGTTGCATCCTGGAAGAGGTCAGTAGTTCAATCTCAGCGGGACCTGGATGTAAGTAACGCACATTCACACACACAAGTAACACACATACACCATAACACACAGGCTACTTGTCGCTAACAAAATTAATTTAAATGCAGGCTGGGGGGGGGGGGCTTGGCATAAACAACTATGTACTCCCAGAACCTACTCTTAAGTATGATCCAGGTATGCAATTGTTATTATAATTAACCAAGATACATAGGTTGTCGGATATAGAGCACTGCCCGTAGTGTGTGACCTGAGAATGCCAGTACAATACTTGGATAGCTAGGCGTAACATTCATTTATGAGTGAATTTTCTAGTATAATCATATATATTATGGTCTTTATTATCTCTCTAATTTCAGTACTTGATTCCTGAATGTTTGACCACCTGAGGGCTGTGCACTCATCTGGACACTGGCATCAGTCACCCAATGTTCAGTAGCTCATTCCTTTAGAAGCACCGAGCAATAAAATCTGATATTACTGAACATGATAGCAGGGTGTGTCAGTAGTCATTGGTGGTGCTTTTACTTTGGTGAAATATTTTTGGGAACGTTCCTTGTACAGCTAAACATTGGTATTGGTCCCCCCCTCCCCCATTTTCAGTGGCTTATTCCCTGTGAACCACTAACCATTAAGATCTGATATTAATGTGCAAGGTAGCATGATGTGTCGGCATTTGCTGGCAACACTTATTTGATTTGAAGTTAAAATGTTGTACAGTTATTGGTTTCGTTGGCTAAATACTGGACTGAGAACAGGGCATTTGTGGCGCAGGTATCCAGCCTCATTACTTTTCTTTAGTGCACCCCCTTTTTTTTTAGGAGCATTCTATAGTTATAAAATACAACCCCCCTTACATTTTACAATTAAAATCACTTTCTTACATATCAGATTAAAATCAGTGTATCTGTGTAGGAAGTAAGTTTGGTTATGTTGTAAAAGCTTACATTCTAATTTTTTGTGGATTTATTTGTTCCTTTGTCTTTTTCATTTGCATCCTCTACTCTCAACAAACCTTTCTAATCAAATGCACTGAAGGGACATGATTTCACATAGTGTGCTCTTTTGAAGTTAAACATTTTCTCATTTACTTCCTTTTTTTCTGTCGCTAGAGTGCATATTAATTGGTGTACAATTTTTAATTTCCAATAAATTAATTTTTTTCTGTAGGAGGGTACTGTAGATCAAAGATTTCTTCCACTGTCTTTGCAAATATAAGATCCAGCATTAATAGGTCATCACCCCCTTCCCTAACTCTCATGGTTTCCCTTACATGTCGATTCATAGATGGCATTAAAATAAAGTTATTGAATGCTCTCTCCCCAATCTCTTAGATTTGAGACTAAAGTGATCCAGTACAGTCAGTCTGACTTCAAATTCATAGGTTTATTCAGGTAAAAGTAAATACATAGAAGATGAGTTACAAACATAATGTTGGATTTATAGATAGAGCTAGTACATACAATACCTAAAGCCACTAATACGCACAGTGTTTCGGGCAAATCTCGGACTTGTTCCTGTTCCTTGTATCACTGTATTGTGCATCTTTCATTGTTTGTACGAACCCCGTCTTGGTTTACATAGTCCGTGTCTTGTCCACCTGTTATTTAATTGTGGGCTGTATGCAATTATGACTAATTATGACCATTATTTTGTAATTACAAAGCTTGTTAAATTAAAAACCTACTGTATACTCCTGTTTTGTCTTCTTTGTAAATTTTATCATACATTATTTTAAAACCACAGCACTTCTGTATGTATTTTGGTGCATACAGGGCTATATTTCCTTGGAGTTTGATTTGTCTTTTATGTATTTTATTTATAAAATAAATTTCATGTGTTATTTCTATACTTTTTCTTCAGTTAGCAGCAGTGTCTTCTCTTTTTCAACTTAAATGATTAATGTTTGTACAGTATAGTATATATAATCATTATCAATTTTGTTTCCAGCTTTTCTCTTCCATTGCTCTTCCTCTGATTTAGGTAACTTGGTGTCAATTTGTGTTCTCTGAAGGTTCAATTTTTCTGGCTCCCCCTAACCCTATCTTGTTAAAAAAGCATTGATTTCTTCTTTTATTTTGTTGCCTTGTTTTCTCCAGCTTGTTCCCAATACTTTTCTATCCTTCATAGGTCCTTTCTGACCACTATGTCCTTTGTTCTGCATCAACTTTCAATGTTTATACCCTAGTTTTCTGCAATATTTCCTCCAATGTTTTTCATTTTGCTAAATATTACCTTTGTCTGCATACCCAGTACCTATTTTCTAATCTTATTATCTGCAGTGTGATCTTTTGTATTCAGTTCTGCTATTGTTGCTCATTTTCATCAATATCTTCTCATCTATCACGGATCTTGTTACCATTTCTATGATTATCAAAATTATAAATGACGTGTTTCGTTCTAATGTGCTATGTAGGAGTATAGGATTCTGATATAGTTGAATTGTTCTTCTAATGTAGTTGAGTTCTCAGCCTGTTCCCTTAACTTGTTATATTTCTGGTACGAGTCTTGTAGCAAATCTGTGTGCATATCAGAGGAGAAATTTGGAATGTTCACTCTTAGGCCTACACAAGTGCTGCATTCTTCTTTTTATTTTTTGCAGGTTATACCTGCTAGAGATAATGTTAAGAAGCCCAGCAAGAAGCATTGCCATTTTATATATTTCTTTGGCAGTGAAAACTAGTAAGTATTTACAGTACAGTATATTGAAGTTCAAATTTTCATGTGTGAATAAATAAAAAAAATGTATATATATTGTGTGTGTGTTTACATATGAATGTACATATAGAGGGAATGTTTGTCTGTCCAAAGTTGGAAGTCAAATACTTGGGGCTAGTCTGGCCCTAATTTGCAGACCAACATACACATGGACAGACCCCAACATTTAGGTCCTTCTACTATATCACGTATGTCTAGAGTTTCTACTAACTGCTTCAAAGCACTTTGATTGTGCAGTACTCTATGAAATGCAGGCGACATATCTCTTGATCAATACATGTTAAAAACTTGGTAGGTTTTTGATTTGCACAGTAAAATATAAATTTTTTGAATGAAGGCTACAGTAGGAAGTGCAAAATAAACCCCCATGATGAGTCAAGGTGAAATAAGCACAATTAGAACACTGTTAACCTTCAACCAGCATATACTGTACAGTATTAGAAGTATTGCTTTAACAAATGTTTGTCTTCAAGGTGGAACTTGACTAGGAGTGTTTTTTTGCTATATACATCAGACCTGGCTTTCACAATGCCAAATGATGCTTTTCCATGGATGGTTTGGTTCAGTCATAAGCAGGCATTTCATCTATAAACACCAAATACTTTCTACACATTGCCGCCATTCATGCAATGTTGGGCCAAATTCCCATGTCTTTTCAACATCTGTGGGTGACCCTATTTTTTCAGTTACTGTATAAGCTGCAGACATTGCTCCTCCTAGCATGCAATTTCCTCTTCTGCATCTTTTTAGGAATTTGGAGGGTGTTAGTTATATTTTATTAGACCTCATACCCATATTTTTTTTTTTTAGGACTTTTTTTTTACAGTTTGATCAGATTCATTCTTCTATTTGGCAATCTCTGCAAAACCTTTGTATATATATTCAATTAATTTAATTGCATTACTTGACCACTTAAAATGTCCTTTATGTTAATCTAACTTCTGCTACTTCACATGTCAAATTCAGTTTTCTTTATTCTCAATAATGTCCTATCCTGAGTTGCCTCTGGTCTTGTAATCCATGCCATTATCTTGCCCAATTTATGTCATTTGTGAGAAACACAATAAAACTTGTCTTGATTGCCATTGTGTTCCTCCTTTAGTCATTGTCAAAGTGAAGATGGTTGGCAGCAGATTGTTAAAACAAATGGCAACTACAACACCAATCTTAAAACCCTCAGTTGTATTCTATGTAGATTGGAAAAAAATCCTCTGGATAGGTGTTAGGAACTGCTGATCAGTTGATCTGCATGCATGCCGATCTGGTAGTACTCAACTTTTTGTTGTTGCATGATGGAGCTCCATCTTTTGGACATCACATTTCTGGTTGTCTGGCATCTAATTCAATGACCCCTGACCTACATGTGAAGGGTGTTTGCACTTCGTGTTTATGGGAATTGAGATTAGAGTCTTGCACCATAGCTAATATATTTGGTGTATTGATTGTTCTTGTATTGTTGTAGTTCTCTTGTAGCTGTGAATTGAGGTGTCTTCTATCGCCTCTGCTGTGTGCTAATTCAGTTTGCCATCACATAAACTGCATGAAAGTACTTCTGTAAAGTTCCAGTTTTCTCGTGCCTCTCCCAATTTTCTCTTATAAGAAAGACACATTCTGTTGACCCCTTTTGGTCTCTTTCTCTCTAAAATTCCATTGCATTACATTTGCTAGGATTGAATTCTTGAAGTCATTTATCTTCCCAGACTTACAGCTTGTCTTCAAACGTTACATTTTCCATAATTTTAACATATATACTGTATATATGTAAATGTGTGTCAGGATATGTGCTATGTCTAATGAAACAAGAGTGACATTTTTGTTATTTCTGTCATTATAGTGCTTGGATTGAATCTGCCAACATGAAGCCATATTTCCAGTACAAAGCGCGTCTTATGAATGCCAACAAAACTTCAACATTTAAAGAGGCTGTGGATTGTATTGAAAAATACATAGGAGAAAATAATATTTTGGTAAGTACTTTGTTATATTTCAACTTGTTCTCTTAAAGCTTGAAACTTTTGCCCTCTGCAACCTCTTATATGTCGAAGCAACGAAAATCGGGAAAGGTCGGTGCCATGCCAGAATTTTTTTTTTTATATATATATACTGTATTGCCTTGACCACTGCCTAATGATATTGACTCTGACCTGATGTTGGGTCACCAACACCAATGTTTAATCAACATTATTGATACTGGTTTAACTTCAGATCAAGAAGTATGCCTTTGATTGGCTCAAAATCTATTTAACATTTCATTTTCTGGGTTTTCGGAAATAGTGGGTATGTGTGTAGGTGTATGTGTGTGTGTAATTACCTAAATGTAATTACTTCAGTGTAGTTACATAATGAGAGCTACACTCATCCTGTCCCACCTTCCCAGAATTCCTTGTCATGCGATGCTTTGAACCTACTGATAGTCTTGGTGTCCATTGGCCCCCCCCCCCCACTTGTTCCAAACGTCTACCACTTTGCAAAAAGAAATAGAACTTTCTGATATTTGTGGGGCACCTTTGTTTCCTTAGTGTGAATGCGTGTAACATACAGTATATAGTGTAAGTTTTTAATTTTAAGGGTTCACTATTATAAAAGATGCATTATGCATGCAAATGGAAAATAAAATGATTTACTGTAATGTGATGCATATTTTTTCTGGCCAAACAGGTTCCGGACATGAAAGGAGGGACTAATGCTACGAATCATTCAAAAAAAAGAAACACACCATCCAAAGAAAGAAAAATCAAGGTAGGCAACAGCTTTTGACTCAGTTGGGTTAGTTGGAATAAAATAAATGTGGCAGGTGTGGAGGTGAGGCAGCAGGTGTGGAAGCAGGTGTATAGTAAATCAACATGTGTTTGGAGAAGAAAACAGGCATGGGGGTGAAGGTAAGTACATATTATGCAATAGGTGTTGGGTGAGGCAGTGGACATCAGATATCACAGTAGATTGTGTGTAATGCTGCAATTAATTAACTCGTACAACAAATTTAGTGTTATGACTGTACACCTTCTATGTACAGAATTGCATTAGTAATGGAAGGGAGAAAGTATGAAGCTCATTCTTTTCAGCACACTTTTGCTGGTGCGGTAGGTGATAATGTAAGCCTTGTTCCTTGCATAGAGACAGTTTAGTTTTTTGCTAATTAGAATGTGGGACGTTTGCATAGCTTACTAGTTACAGGTACGCAGTCTTTTAAATATAATAAACGTGAAACAATACCTACACATTTCCAAAATTTGTTGGTACAGTACAAATATCTTGTCCTAAGTCAGCAGTTGTTGAAAGCAGATGATAGATATTTTTTGGTTCCAGGTTCTTGCATAATTGTAGTCATGTATGTACTCTAAATATATAAATCTATGTAGATAAATAATTTTTGAATTTTGTAACGTATATCAGTGGGTTTTTTCGGTACAGTATTTTCTTTGAAGAGTCTTTCTATGAAGGCTTACCTTAAGTTAATTTTCATGTTTCATTTCATTCATCTGGAGTTGATAAAACTTTTAGCAAACACTTGGAGCTTCTGTTGAATGATTTGGCACAGTGGTTTTGTTACTGCAAAAAAGTCATCTCTTGGAGTATGAAACTGTAGAAAGAGTAAATGTAACTTCTGCAAGCACATATATTTGAAAGATTGAAGAAGGAACCACAAAAGAAATAGTAGTAGTTACTGAAAGCATAGTACTGTACTTCCATGACAATACATTTGTATGTCCAATTAGCCAGTTTTAACATACCTGTATATGAGTCCTAATTTTTTAGAAGCATGTATTAATTCATTTGCTTGATATTATAAAATCACATCTTTTTTTTTTTTTTTGCCAGGCAACACCAAAGAGGCGGCCAAACAGTGATGCCAGTGGTGGAAGTGCTAAACGCATCAAGACAGAGTCAGTAAGACTGAAAGATCCTTCACTCACAACGTCTCCGAGTCACAACTCAAAGGCCCGTGTATCAGCACTTCTGAATAGGCCAGTTCACATTGAAAGACCAGTAAGTGTTTTATTAATGTAGTGTTATGCGTATGTGTGTTAATTCTTTCTCTTAAACCTTCGCCTTCCTTCTCTCCAACCACCCTCCTGCTTGAAGGAGGGTGGTTGAAGTAATGAAGGAAGCCTAGTTAATAGGGTAGTCATGAAGGAAATTTGGTTGATAGGTAGTAATCAAGGAAGCCCGATTTATGGCTGAAAATCATTAACAAGTACACATGCTTTAGATTTTGGTTATTTGTGATAAATCATTTATGGTAGCATGTGTGCAAGATGAGTTTTAAAATATGAAGTATAATATATGTCTTTTTTCCTTTTCTTTTATAGGAAACGCCGCCCTTAGATGTGGGTAGCGTAAGTCAGACGTTAAAAGATAAGAAAATTGAGCCATCTGGGCTGAAGTTTGGATTTTTAGGCTTGGGTATTATTGGATCTGGCATTGTCAAGAATCTTCTCAACAGTGGACACAGTGTAATGGTGTGGAACAGGTCTTCAGAAAAGGTAAGTACAATAGCAACATACTTAATGTGGTTTATGATAATTATACACGCGTGGAAGTTTTTAGTGTTTTCTTTTCGTAGCTTGGGTTCGTTATGTGTTTATTGTTTTTCATTTCGTAACTGTTCTTAATTTTCAGTGATGTGAACATCAGATCATTTGGGAATGTATTGGACGAGGGAGTGGGGAATAGTGGGGAAGACGAGGGGTTTTGAGTGGGGATGGTGGGGAGGATGAGGGGGATTGGGGAATGGTGGGGAGGATGAGAGAATGGGTGCGGAAGAGGGGATGGGGGGAATGGTGGGGAGGACGAGGGTATGGAGGATGGGGGAATGGTTAGAACAGGGAAACGGGAGGGTTGCTGTGGCCGGGTACAGCTAGTATGTATGTGTGTGTGTGTGTGTGTATGTGTATATATGTATGTATGTATGTGTATATAATATATACATATATATATATATATATATATATATATATATATATATATATATATATATATATATATATATATATATATATATATATATATATATATGTCGTACCTAGTAGCCAGAACGCACTTTTTGGCCTACTATGCAAGGCCCGATTTGCCGAATAAGTCAAGTTTTCCTGAATTAATATATTTTCTCTAATTTTTTTTATTGGAGTTAAAATTAACGTAGATATATGAACGAACCTAACCAACCCTATCTAACCTAACCTAATCTATCTTTATAGGTTTGGTTAGGTTAGGTAGCCGAAAAAGTTAGGTTAGGTTAGGTTAGGTAGGTTAGGTAGTTGAAAAACAATTAATTCATGGAAACTTGGCTTATTAGGCAAATCGGGCCTTGCATAGTAGGCTGAGAAGTGCGTTCTGGCTACTAGGTACGACATTATATATATATATATATATATATATATATATATATATATATATATATATATATATATGTCGTACCTAGTAGCCAGAACTCACTTTTCAGCCTACTATTCAAGGCCCGATTTGCCTAATAAGCCAAGTTTTCCTGAATTAATATATTTACTATAATTTTTTTCTTATGAAATGATAAAGCTACTCTTTTCACTATGTATGAGGTCAATTTTTTTTTATTGGAGTTAAAATTAACGTAGATATATGACCGAACCTAACCAACCCTACCTAACCTAACCTAACCTACATATATAGGTAAGGTTAGGTTAGGTAGCCAAAAAAAGCTAGGTTAGGTTAGGTAGGTTAGGTAGACGAAAAAACAAAAATTCATGAAAACTTGGCTTATTAGGCAAATCGGGCCTTGCATAGTAGGCTGAGAAGTGAGTTCTGGCTACTAGGTACGACATATATATATATATATATAAATATATATATATAATATATATATATAATATATATATATATATATATATATATATATATATATATGTCGTACCTAGTAGCCAGAACGCACTTCTCAGCCTACTATGCAAGGCCCGATTTGCTTAATAAGCCAAGTTTTCCTGAATTAATGTTTTTTCGACTACCTAACCTACCTAACCTAACCTAACCTACCTTTTTCGGCTACATAACCGAACCTAACCTATAAAGATAGGTTAGGTTAGGTTAGGTAGGGTTGGTTAGGTTCGGTCATATATCTACATTAATTTTAATTCCAATAAAAAAAAATTGACCTCATACATAATGAAATGGGTAGCTTTATCATTTCAAAAGAAAAAAAATTAGAGAAAATATATTATTTCAGGAAAACTTGGCTTATTAGGCAAATCGGGCCTAGCATAGTAGGCTGAGAAGTGCGTTCTGGCTACTAGGTACGACATATATATATATATAATATATATATATAATATATATATATATATATATATATATATATATAATATATATATATATATATATATATATATATATATATATATATATATATATATATATATATATATATATATATATATATATATATATATATATATATATATATATATATATATATATATATATATATATATATATATATATATATATATATATATATATATATATATATATATATATATAATTGTTGAATATGACCGAAAGGGTAAGATTAAGGATTCTAACACGAATCTTCTCAATATTTCTTATGTTTTTCTTCACTGTCGGGGATAGTTGAAAATTTAACTCTTCAAAGGTCATTTTCATGTTTTATTTGTAGTCTGACGCCTAGAAGTGTTTCGCAAGAGCACTTCTTACAATTTCAAAGACAATTTTTTTACTTACTCATATCGTGCTTATATTCGTTTGTGGGTGAGGTGATGGGATACAATTGTTTTTGGGTGAGGTGACAGGAAACAAAAGACAAAACACGAAACACTGGATATATACAATGGGCACATAATCATGGGTATACATTCTATCTTCTTGCTTCTGTGCTGGTTCGGGGTCTTGAAGTGGGTAGAATGTAATTATGTGATAATTGGCTGTTGATTGCTGGTTTTGACTTTTTGATGTGTAGGACCTTACTGATGTCGAGTTTCCTGTTATCGTTGTATCTGTCAATAATTTGTGTTGCTTGTCAAGATGTCCCGGGTGATGGTCTTGTTGTGTGTGGAGATTATATGCTCCTTAATGGAGCCCTGTTGTTTATGCATTGTTAATTGCCTAGAAAGAGACATTGTTGTCTTGCCTGTATACTGAGAGCTTTGGGGTTGACAGTCCCTAAGTGGGCACGTGAAGGCATAGACGACATTTGGTTTCCCTTAAGGCGTTCTATTTGGTGTCTGGAGAGTTCTTTGTGAGTAGGTGTGCCGTTTTCTTGTTTTTGAAGTAAATTGTTAATTGTATCTTCTGATTTATGTCTGTGGTGATAATGTTCCTATTAATAATATCTTTAATAATATTAAAGATATTAATAATATCCTTAATATTAATATCATTAATAGATATTATTATTATATTAATAATATCTTTATTATTATTAATATAATAATATTAATATTAATTAATTATATTAAAGATATTATTAATAGGAACGTTATCCCCACAGACACAAATCAGAAGATACAATTAACAATTTACTACAAAAACAAGAAAACGGCCAACCTACTAACTCTCCAGACATGAAACAGAATGCCTTGAAAGAACCAAATATCGTCTATGCCTTCACATGCCCACTTTGGGACTGTCAGCCCCAAAGGTCTCAGTATATAGGCAAGACAACAACGTCTCTTTCTAGGCGATTAACAATGCACAAACAACAGGGCTCCATCAAGGAGCATATAGTCTCTTTACACAAAAAGACCATTGCCAGAGAAATTTTAACAAGCAACACAGAAATTATGCATAGATACAGCAACAATAGGAACTTTGTACTTGGTCGACCCTGTACTTGGTCGACTTGTATCTTTCTGTGTGTGTCGCTGCGGTTCCTGCTTGGCCGGCAGAGAGGTTGACGGATGTGGTTGTCAGGGTGGATACGCAAGTATAGTCCCACGCCAACTGTCTACCACCCTTCAAAGGGTGCATTGTGATTCCGTCTGGTCGGCTGGCAAAGCTAGCAGAGTTATGGTTCAATAGATTGCGGGGGCTCTCTCTCCGCTGGACACTGGGCAGAGGCAAGGCTCCTCTTAATGATGTCATTGACTTCGTTTGTCTGTATATATATATAATTGTGTGTGTGTGCATATATATATGCACATATATAGTGCATGTCTGGCTATTAGGCACAACATTTTGTGTATCTTTGAACATACAATAATATAGATTCCAGGCAAAGTACTAGAGAAAGTATTTGAGGAGTGATTGGTAAAACATTTTGAGGGGATACCTTACCTTGGGGTTACTGTGTGGTGGTTCCGAAGACCAGTGTACCCCACGGCCCGGTCTCAGACCAGACTTCTTCATTGGTGGTGTAGTCAACCAGGCTGTTAGATGCTGCTGCTCGCTGCCTGATGTATGAATTACAGCCTGGTTGATCATGTATTCTTTGGAACTACTGTATATTTAACAGACCATATAGCTTTAGAGGGAAAGTATTATCTAATAAATTAGATACTTTCATGACAAGGACACAATGATACGGAGAAAAAGATGGCTGGGTAGGTTGCATGTTCCTAGACTTTTAAAAAACATTTTGTACAGTTCATAAAAAGCTAGTGCAAGTCAAGCTGGGATAAATGTTTTCTGGGTGGGCTCACTAGGACTCCAGGTTATCCTTCCTTCACCCCAGGTGTGCCCCAAATTCCTGAGCACGAGTCTCGATTTTTGGGTACCTATCATTGCTTACTATGTACATACCTATGGTGGTTTTTGGTTTTCTAGTACCATACTGTGCTCCAGCTTCCTGGGCAAGTTCCCTTTTTTTTCGGGTCCACATGTTACAGTTGAGTGCCCAGATCTTTATTGGGCTCTTTGGGCTTCTGGAGTATACCCGTGTTCCTTGGGGTGCACAAACCCAAGGGTAGTTTCCTGGTTTTCCCTCGTGCCCTGGATGTGTGCTCCAAATTCATTAAGGATGACATTAACGCATAAAAAATTCTGAAGGTAATTGACTGGGTAAACAAGGACAAATTATTTGGTAAGGATGGTGCATGAATACAGGATCACAAATGATAACAAATTACTGTGCTCAAATGAGCCAGACACACTAGAAAAAAAGGGGGGGGGGAGTACCTAAAGAATCTAACCTGTCCCTATCTTAGGTGTAAATAGGCAATCCTAATATACCCTATCTTAGGCCTTATTTGGTACATATATATGTGCTATACCAGGACAGTTTAGTTTTTTTGTGCCTTCTGCAAAATTAATAGTACAAAGCATGAACATATGAAACATCCGGTGAGTAGGTTCAAACCCTCATCGCAGCAGCCCTTGTGGATTAGTTCATTTGATATATCACGTAATTGTGATTTCTATGTGTATTGAAGTAAGGGCGTAGAGGTAGAACATTTGGTTAACAGAGCCCGGGTGCATGGGGGAATTGTGTGACACCCTGATTGGGCTTCGGAAAAGCTTTGGTATCCTAATGAGGGCAGTAGCAGTCGAGGTTGCAATTCTTTTAACCATGTAGTGGTACAGTTGACTAAGGTGCTTCTGGGAACATCCTGTGCATAGGTTTGAACCCTCATCAATGCCCTTGTGGATTTGCTCATAAACATATGGTTTTCTGCAACAGGCCATTTTTGTATATACGACCAAGTAGTTGCTATAAGAACTAGTGTTTAGAGGATGGGTTGTAGAATGCATTGAAATCGTATAACTTACCATATATGAAGGCTGCCTGGGCTTGGATACGGTATTACTTGGACAGGTATGCACCAGACTTTTCTGCGGCACTTGTAATGAATTTTGACACGCATTCAAACTGCTGAGGTAACCTGATTCCGATAGTAACAGCAGGTTATAGTGTACGACTGGTGCTGTGGCCGAGTGATTGTGACCAAGGATTATCTCTATTGACGGATGAAAAACTGCCTGTGTTCTTTGATTTGTATCTGCTGACTATATCTGCCATCTGGTGATTAATATTAAATATAATTTTGAACTTGTTTCCCCAAGTTATATATAAGTACCTTATTTATTTTCACTATTTGGGAAAATAATAAGAACACTTATTCTCTTTTATCATGTTTTACCCATCTTAGTCAAATCTAAAATTGATTAGCATAGACTCTTCATTGAGCCATTTGATTCTTCAAAAGCATGCATTTATATTCAAAATTTCAAACCCAGCATGGTGGGAATATAAGGCACCTAGTCCTTAACATCTCCAAAATCGGTTAATTACACAAAAAAAAGTAGTTAGTAATTTACTATTGTCACTTGCAAACAATTTGACCTCAAGAAGCATTTTTTTTTTTAGTTTATACAAATTTAAGTACCCTGTATTGGGTATACCTCATTACAGGGTACTTAAGTACATACCCTTTATGTACAAAAATTTGTACAATTCCAGTACTGTTGAATAGATATACTGTAGCTGTAATTATGAATGGTTATAATGCTAATGCATTTATATTAACAGATTATTATATATAGTATAGTTAGAGACTTAAATTTGCCACATGTTTCAAGTTCTCCGTCGTCATGCTGACTTTCTAATACAGTACTATAGTGACCAGACTCCCAATGGGAGTTCCAATTAGGTTATCAATGGTAGCATTTTATAGAAACTTATTTCTCTAGAAGTATGTTACTTTGCTTATGGCTGTTTCTAGCTTGATTGTTTTGTTCCATCTGGCTAATACTGTATGTGAATTATTTTTTATGGCTTTAAAGTTTGCAGCCTTGGCTGGGGTCACCAAGTTAGTCGTGATAATAGATCCACTTTCTGTAGTTCCTTCTACTGTCATTTGAGCACCATGACTTTCCCACCTCTTCACTTGAAACAGTTGGTACAAGCTAGAAGTTAAGAAATGGTTTAACAAAATACACTCTCTGGGTCGTAGCTTAAACCACCTCGGATATTTTCATTTTAAATATTGTAATGTGTTTCAAAAATCAGTAACCTATTTGACCCACTTCCTTGGCATCTTTGAGAATTTTCTTTGTATTTTTAATATTTAAAGAATATATATATATATATACAGTATATGGCATTGTTGGTACATTTGTAGTTCTTGGAAAGTCCAAAATAAGAGAACCACGCATCTTTGCCCTGGGGCGTGGAATGTCTAACAAATATACAGTAACTGTTCTTACAGAGCCGACACATTTATTTAAGTACAGTACAGATTTGGGCGAGGCTAATGACATCATACTAGACCTCTGCTTTATAATACTTTGTGCTTAAGATCAGCTACAAGATAAACATTCATAAAACAAAGCAAGAAATTTTATTTACTCGTATTTGCATCCTGCAAGATGTTTAAACAAAATTTTTAACAGTCAAGTGTTAATCGTCATACAATCTTCTTTGGAAATCTAACCAACCAGTTTTGTATTCTTAATTTTTAGATAGGGGGCATGCCTAATCGTGCTAGTGTGGATAGAACCACAATTGGGAAAGAGTGTGTATCTTCCAAGCATTTGACTAACTAGGCATTCAAAGCCAAATGTTCTACTTGATATAATTAGGACCGATTACACCTCCAACTTGAAAGTTACTCTTTAACCCAAGAATTTTAGTTAGATGATATTTTAACTGTGAACATAATTTGCTAATGATTTCTTGTATAGTACCTTGATTGTTGAGAGAAATGGCAATAATATGGTAAATTCACTGACAGAAGCTAATGACTAAAAGATGCTAATATCATCTTTCTCCAATCTTTAAGCTTGAGTATTCTATAGGTATGAAAAACTTAGGATGGTGAACCGGTTATGAAAAATTTTTTGAAGTAATATTTTTGTAAAAGTAGTAAACAAAGATGACTAGCAACTATCTGGCATACTAACACCTATTTATTATACAGTACTGTATTTGTTAATGAACTGCTGTATTTCAATGTCACCTGCCTTTCAGAAGCAGAATTAGTCTTTATAAATTTAATTTTTTTTGAAGTTTGTATTTAATTTTCAAAATGGTGCCATTACTGATAAAATGGTGGTACTTAAGAGTCACTGGTAAGCAGAAAAATATCTTTGAAATCTCAAAGATTATTGCACTAATGCTATAATAGAATTACTTATTCTTCAAATTGTTTGGGAATACCGACAGTTCGTTGTACTGTACTAGTTAGAATGTAACGTTGTTATTGTCTTATTGCCATAGTCTTAAATATCCCTAATTAATCAGCTGAGTTTAGTATCCCATGGGCAGCTTGGGCTCGAGTGCATAAAAAGCTAACCATGACTCTTTTTACATCATGTAAAATTATGTAAATTTTTATTATGTAAAACTGCTAGTGTTCTAATTAGTACATCCTGTTAGCATTCCCAAATGAATTTTACTGTATTGTCAAGTTGGGGAAATATTGTACCGTGCATTATTTGATTATATATATACACAAATTGAGGATGGGGTGTATCTAGGTACAGCATTCACCAGAATAAAGATATGTATGTATGTATGTGTGTGTGTACGCGTGTGTGTGTTAATTGAATAGAGTTGTATACACAATGTGATGCTGTCCATTGAAGTTGGGTTTTGGCATGAAATGCTTTAGATTGGTTTTAACCATTAGCATAAAACAGTATCAGGCTTTTCATAGCCTTCAATGATTGCTTTTCTTATTTTAATACTTTAATACACATGTCTTGTTTCCAAAAAGCATCATTCATGAATTCTCGTAGTTAAAAATGTATGAATAACCATGTAAATCATTATTGATATGATTGGATAATAAAACTACTTTTCTACTGGAACTTATATTCTTTAACTATGCAAACAACAACCCTAAAAATAATATGTGATGGTAATTTGGTTCCATTGCATATGGCACTAACCTGAAAATATATGAATGATATTTAGGATGAGGCAATGACACGTTAGAATAGCAATTAGACATCTGCATGGGAGGGAAACGGAAAAAGTTCCAGGTAGTCTCTTCATAGTTAACAAGATCTAGTCCTCTGCAGGCTTCTAATTACAAACAAACGTTGGCACAAGTGGTCTCACTTTCTACGTCATTCATAGACCTGATAATTTTAAGGGCTTAATATGGGCTAGGCATGTTTGGTAAAAATACATCACTTACTGCAAACAAATGAATATCACATTAATACAGTATGTGAAAGATATTGACCTTATAAATGCCTTATTAGAAAGATAACCAGATAGCTAACAGATGCCTGCACTAGTTCAGTAAATACTGAGGCAGGTTTAGATTACAGGGATGTTTCATATGCTGATGATTTGCTACAACTATCTTCAGCCACTGTGGCCAGCAGTGTGTCATCCTCATTGTGACCTGCATTTTCATTGTCATTTGCAATTTTAGAATCTACACATTCACTAGTACCAATAGATATAGCTTCTTCACTGTTAGACTTTGTTTTAACTTTTGGTGAGCTTTGTTCTTTTTGGTTACTTTTAGCTTGGTGGTTAGCTTGAGTAGAAGACTTTTCATCATCATATGTTAGTGTTACTCTGCCAAAAAAATTGGAAGTGCCTGGAACTGAATTCAGCGAGGTTAATGATGGCTGTAGATTATGATCACTGACTTCTTCACATAGGGTAATTCTTGCTGGAATACCCCTTGCCTCTGGTACTGGGGCTACTTTGTGAGAGGGATGACTAGCACTCAAGCTCCGCTTGTGTACCCTCACAGGATCAGACACAAAGGGAGTAGGGCCAGCTACACTCGAACTTCTGTTATGACTTTTTGGGTGAGGTGGCAAGGTGCGAGATGGGCTGTTCCCACCTATAGCATTCGAGTCACGTCTTAACCATGGTTGCGCTTCAACAAAATCACAGGAAGTATTGGAAGATGTTCGGGAATGTTGTTTAGTTGGGTCCTGGCCTCTTGATGAACGAAATGAACGTGTTAGTGTACTTGCTGGCGTAAAGTAATCAGAAGAGTGACTTTGTGTGTCAAGAAAGTCAATTTTATAGTATGCATCTATTCCATTGAGAGCATCGTCAAACAGAATGGAATCTGAGCGCTGACACCCTCCAGTTCTACAATTTTGAAGGTAGAGATCTGGCAGATTTTCCAGTATCTTGTTAAGTGTTTTCTGTTGGTATTTATAAGTTTCTCGAAGCCTTAGTAGCTGATGTGCACTAAATTTGCGGATACGGTGGCGCTGAAACACATAGTTCTCTCTTACCCTATTCATCTGTGATACTGAGTAGTCCCTCACCTTGTTAACCTGGAATAGTTTTTAAGAGCAAAATATAGTAACCTAGTCCTCATAGAAATCTAAACTAAGCAGTGCTGAATATAGGTGATATGCCTATACTACTCTATATTTATTTAAAAAAGCTTTACAATAACAAATGTCAAACTTTACTGAAAATATAAGTTGATCTATAGAATCCCATACAATATGAAAAAAATATTGACAAAGTAAGATATGGATATTGATGCATACCACAGAATGCTCTACGCATAACCATATAAAAAATTATTAATGCATGGCCATATAAAAAATTAATAATGCAATCATCGCTCACCTGATCAACATACTGGTCTCTCAGTGACGTTAGACCCTGTGTACTGTAGTCTCGTAGATCACGAAGATTCTTGCCTTGACTACTGTAACTCTCTCTAATACGCTCCATTTGCTGGTAGCAGCTTTCTTTGATGCTCACCACCTGCAAAGATAACAAAGAAAAAAGACAAAACATTCAACAAGTTGAGACCGGAGACATCGATTTCAAAATACAGTATTACTGAATTACAACATTACTTTACTAGCAGGATAAAGTAGCAGCATACTGGCAGGATTATTGTAAATCTAACCTGGCCATTGTAGTTTTCTCGAAGCCTGTCAAGTTGCTGTGATTTATAAGCTTCGACACTCTCCAATAATTTCTTAATCTGGCGAGCTTTTGGAGACACTCGATCCTCACAACAGCAGCACTCCCATCCCATTCTGTAAGAAATGTAAACGCAAAAGTTTGTACAAATGAGAAAATTTGTACATTATTGTAAACTAAATCTTGTGTTACACAAGATTTGTTGGTTTACTTGCAGGTTTAATGACTATGCATGATGGGTGAATTAACAAAATGTGTGGTACTCAATCACTACATAACAAATTGGCCAACATTCATTTTTTATAATAATGCCACAAATTGTACAGTAGTTACTTCATTGTTATATGTAAATAATAATATGTAACACATTACCTGTCGAGGATGTAGTTGACTAGTTGAACAATAAGTGTGATCAGAAGGAAGAGGGCAGCACAGGCAAAGCCAAAGAGGAGGCTTTCTGCATACAAGTTGCGGAACTGGCTGTCACTTATGCTGAGGAAGACCAACACCGAGGTGTTACCCACACTGTTGTAAGCAAAGCACTTGTACCATCCAACATCTGATCGCATCACCTCACGGATCAGAAGGTGACCAGAAGCCAAAACTTCAAATCCTGGATTATTGGAGGCTGAATCTTCTACTTCTCTTAAGTGATGACTTGTCCATTCATCAGCACTGCTGTTGCCATTTTGTAGGAAGACTTCACGTTTTGCTGTGAGCCACATTACGTTGTGGAGTGGGTGAGCAGTCACATTGCATTCTAGTAAGGCACTTTGCCTCCCATGAGCTATCACCCAGTTACCTGAAGGAGTAACTGCTTTTGGTGCCTCACAATTTAACAGTTGCATGTGTGTGTATAACTCTGCTACACTGCGGTGTTGACCATCTTTGCACTCTAGGGGCTCCACGCCACTCCAAGTTGATGTGTCTGCTAATATGAGCAATTCAGGAAGCCAAGAATGATAGCAGTCACAGCGAAGTACTGTTCCTGCCAGAAAGACCGATGTATTATGCTTAACTAATTTATTGAAGGATATTGGTAGCACCGTGAGACCCGAACTTTGAAGATTTAAAGAGCGGAGTTTGGCAAGTCCCTCAAATGCCACTTCTTCTATTTCCATCAGGCTTGGAGTATGAGCCAGGTTGAGGTGTTGTAGGTTGTGGAGACCTGTGAAGGCTCCATGTTCCACCCGAATTAGTCTCTCATTATACTCGAGGGACAGCTTCTCTAACAGTGGCATCTCAGAAAAAACAAATTCGTCAATATTTACAATATGGGTGTGACCGAGATCTAGTTGTCTTATACATCTTGCTCCAGCAAGAGCTGCAGCATTAATATGCTGGATGGGATTACTGTGAAGGATTAGGTTTTCTAGGCAGGAAACACCTGAAATCATGTTATCAGGCAAGTTTTTCAGAGAGTTGTACGATACATCAAACACTTCGAGATTTTGCCCATGGAGGCGTGGTAAATCGAACAAATCAGCGCCACTGATGTTGAGGAAATTAAGCTGGCTAGCATCCTCCATCCATTGATGATGTAGCTGGGGTAATTTTGTTTGTGAAACATCTAAATACTTCAGGTTTGTTAGTCCTTGCAGAACTTCAGAATCCATGTGAACAACTGGATTGTTATTAAGAGCAAGGTACTTTAAGTGGACAAGCCCGTTCAAGTCTGTATTATTCACCATCCTGAGGCTGTTGTGTCCTACATCGAGATGAGTAAGAGCTGGGGCGTTTGATTTTAGGTGTCCTCTGCCCAGAGACTGTAAACGGTTGTGGGAGAGGTCCAATTGTTCCAGTTCAGGCAGGAGCGGCAGGGAATTAACGTTGTCCAATTGACTGCCACTAATTTTAAGGAGGCGGAGGCCTTTAAGTTTGGCGAGGAGATGTGTAGGGATGATGGAATATCCTTCAAGGATGAGCGTGGTAGTGTCAGTGGGCGGAGGAGGCGGGTGCACCTCACCAGCAGTGGCAGTACACACCACCTGACGGGGTAGTATGCAGGAACAGCTCTCAGGACACTGTGGCCCACCCAAGTTGCCCGCCACCCACCCTAATTCTCGCCTGCCGTACCCACTGTCATCACTCTCGGGCACCACGGCCGCCGCCATTCCACACACACACCACCACCACCACCACCGCCGCCACACCGCCATCACCGCTCACACAATCTGCAACCACACTCAAATTGTACAACTTCAGCATAATTATTATTGTCTCCATTACCATGGCATATAATATTTCCTAAACCATAATTTTTCAACGTAAATTATATTATGCAGTTTTAAGTTGTAGTATGGTTCAATCACACACACACATACATTGACTACTGCTTAATTTTAATATATGTTTACTAGTCTAAATATTCGTATTCTAATAAATTTGATGTAATATCAAGATAAGCTGTGTTATACGCCAAAAGCATTAATTGTTATCTTTATCAGGAGGCAGGCAGTATCGTATTTCCACAATTCTGCTGCCATTGTTCACCAGAAAACCGTAATAGTGTTCGCAAGCTCCTACGTAAGCATGCGATACAACGAGCTTATTAACGCCGAAAAATGTCAAATGTCTTACCGTTCGTGTTGGTACATAGTAGAGGGGCGAATGGAATTTTTTTTTAGGGGGAGGGATGCGCGGGCTGCTGCAGGTAGTGTGGCGTTGAGCACGACACACAGCTGACTGAGGCATGGGAAGTGGGGTTTGTTGGGGGGGCAGCCACACAGCAGATCCTACCGACGCCTGTATCGATCCCACACCCTCCAGATCTACCCCTCCCGCTCTCACTCCCTCCCTCCCTTCCTCTGCCTGCTTATATAACAAGAGTTTACCCTCAAATGATGGTTTACGGGCTCACCATAGCCCGTGCTACATGGACATTTCGTTCTGAGTAGCTAAATGTAAAAACAACAATCCCCCAAATGATGTCCAAACCATACATCAGTCTTCATTTTCTGATGTGTCTGATGGCTTGGGCATCATAACGTTGTGACTCGTCGTCTGCATATAGATTTACCCCAAATTTTACCTTTATCCACTTTTAAAATCAAATGGTTTATATATAGTACAATCTTCCAGGCTCGGTGCCTTTCGAAAACGTCGTATAGCTTAGAAATACAATTACTTGTGTACGTTAAATATTGCAAATTATATAATTTAATAATTGTTCGTGATTACCAAATACGCAACAGAACAGGTGAGCACAATTTAACATCAGCCGAAAGGACAAATTATTATAATTTAATAATTTACCCTTTCAGTTGGCTAGGTTAGATTTTTGTTCACCATGTTTTGTATGTATTCGATAATCATAGGCAATTTACTTTTCAGTTTAATAGGATTAGATTTATTTAAAAATATACAATAAATCTAATATACAGGTGTAGGCTATACGATTTTAAGTCTAGGAAAGACTAGAGCTGAAGCTCAACCGTGGTGCAGAATGGGTTTTCGCGCTGCATCAGCGTTGTGGGGCCCAGTGTATTGTCTATGGCCAGGAGCCTCATACACTAACCATATATAACACGCCTCCTTCCCCACATATATTCCAGCCTTTCTGCTTTTTATCCTTATCTTCAGCAATGTGTACCTCGCTTTTTTATGTACTAAGTGCCATTGTCATACTGGATTATCGCTATCGTGTTTTATGTCAAATCGAATTTAAGTTTAGTCACATTATGAAAAGGTTTGCTTTGTAGAAATCATTATGCGTCAGGCACTAAGAGGTGACAGTATGTAGGTTATGTAAGAATTGGTTCTATTGTATTTAGTCATGCAACAGGCGTCAGTATTCATGCTGAGAGTTGCCAGTTTGTCTCTAGCGTGATCATCATCCCAAGATCGTAGTTATCCATCTAGTTATGGTATCAATAGTTACTACCGTAAAGCTGTATAATTTATATAGGATCTCAACATAAAAATTAAGATATGATAGCGTTGTTTGCGATTTTTAGTAGTAATAATTGAAGCTTTGATAAATGGGCGTTTCACGTGAACGATAAGCATTGCGTGGCCTATAGCAGAAGCATTCATATTGGTATACATTTTGTGGTATTAATAGTAGTAAGCATTGAAATTAGGACATCCAGTAACCAATATTAATTTGACTTGATATTTGTTAGCGATTAGGTTATGATTCCCACTCTAGACAGGCAACTTAACCCTTTTAGTCATCCTGAAATTAGCGATGTTTGTTGGAACAAGTTAAGCCTCTGTAGAAAAATGGTTACATATACAAATAAAACTAACAACGTTATACAGACTACGTACAGACTACCAATTATAGACAAGCGAAACATCTGTTTTGTTTGGAATTCATTCTCCTAAATAAAGCCAAGGCTTTAGTTAGAAATTCCTCACTTTCCATGCAGTCCACACATCTAGTATCTATGCTCCCACACCCCATTTTGTAACAGGTTAGTACAGACGAAGACTACTAACGATTTGCTAGAAAGCAGATCTTTTCCTTCCCACAGCTCATCTTAAACTCCACTATTTTGACAAGAGCTGTCAATCTGTTTATAACCAGGTCTTTAATTACTGCTCGGTGAACAGGAGTGGTGAACAGTCAAGGACCGTTGCCTACTCGACCCTCTCTGCTCAAAGCACAAACCAGACCAAAGTCTCGTGCCAGGCGTTGGACGAGTCTTCCTTGCATAATTTGTTTTAGTTGCTTCCAAGAACCTAACCAATGTCAGTCGTTTTCAGTCAATGTTTACGTTCGTAAATATTCGAATATTTCGTTATTACACACCCAAAGATTTTAGCTTTTTTTCTCATTCAAATCAAATGTATTATAAATACCTTTGATTTGCAATCGATTTAGGCTTTACTATAACATACGGATGAACAAACTGTAAAACGTAGAATCTCTTTACTAGGTCATTAGAACATTTTGTATTTCATTCACTATACAAGTGTAAAGAAGCGGGATGAGATTTCAGCCTGTCGTTGGGTTGATCCAACATTGACGCAAACATATAAATTTTGGCACCAAAATAATTTACCTGGGTCACGAGAACATGACGGGGTGAAAGGGGGTACGCAGCTGTTTTATTTTGAAGTTTATGTTTTGGTCATATACTGGGAATATGCCGTAGTTACCGTATACCGAGAAATTGTTTTTAATGATCGATAATAGGTAGTTTTGTGAAAAATCTGAGGCAGGTTTGGAGAGTCGTGACGAGGGGGGGAGGGGCATGATGGGAGCCGCACACTCCCACTGGCTGATCAATATCCCTGTTAGCTTACCTCTCGCACCACTCCATTCATCCTGGTGCACTGCTCTCCTTCCACACACAATGTTTCCTCATCTCGCTCTCGGTTTGCCATTATGTACGTCTTGCAGGTAAACATTCCCATTTTATTTATTTAGTAGCATATTTAAGCATTGCAGTCTTATAATGAGGGGCAGCTTTGGTTCGATTTCCAGGCGAGACAAATGGTTAGGCACATTTACTTTCACCTATTGTGTCTGTTCACCTAGTCGTAAATAAGGTACCGGGGAGTTAAGCAACTGTCGTGGGGTTGCATCTAGGGGAAGGTCAGTAGTTCAGTGTTGAGGGAACTTCGATACATCCAAAAGCATATATGCAGAGGTTTTCCGTCTCCGACAAAGCGTATTAATTATTAATGAAATGAGTGCACATGCTTCTAGAATTCTTTCTTGTGAAACCTGAAATGCTCTTCTGCCGGATAGAACTGCACTGTCGTCTTTCTCCGTTTTCCGTTTCAAGAATTTTACGCTGCACATTCCTCATTAACTGTGCAGTAGGCTTGTTCAAATGTTGAGGCAGAGTAGTCCGCTAAGATAATCGACAGGCATTATATGTAATTACTAATAATTAAGCGAAGGTGCGAGTGCGTCATTGACCCCTTGTCGTGCTGTTTACTGCTACAGTCCTGTGGCTTCAGCTCAGTTATGCGGTCCAGCATGGTTTGACATTGCTCGTGGTTTACGGGTTATTCATGCCCGTGCCACACTAATCTGAATACATGCCAGTGTGTGTGATTACGTAACATCTACTAGCAGACAGCTTTAAAAATAGTCAAGGATTTCTTCCCGAAGTATAGATGTAAACTTTTTTTTAGACGCTCCAGAAATCTTCGAATATGGTTCTTGTACAACCGTTGTGTGCTTTATTTAGTCAGTCATGACATTTAGCCATATATATTTCAGATTCTTTCCTGCAATGTAGTACTAATTAGAGTATCGTCCTCATAGCAGGTGGTGGTCGAGTCTAGATTAAGCTTGTTCAGCAAAATTATTAAAAAGTTACGCAAGGATGAACTCCAGAACTTTGAGACACTTGTTGATCAGGGAAATACAACATACCGAATGACTAAAAAAAGTAAATTCTGCTTGATTGCCGTATTGATTATGTATTGTTGCCAAACTCATATTTCATTTCCACATGTATTCCTTAAGGCCTTTATACGGGAACATAATTTATTAACAACGCTTTACGTTGCAACAAACACCATTACTTGAATGCACCACAACTAGTGTGAATGTGGTTTTGTGGATGGGAAGCATGGCCCACGTGGGTCAGTAGCCGTTGGGTTGGCGGTGGTAAGCCTACCTTAATAAGCTAGTAAAAGTATTGGGATGGTGAACCCACATGTGCATAGCGAACTCACGTGGGTCGGTAGCTTTTATTTTGACTTGTCATACACGCAAGTTGGCAATAGGTATTGATTTAACCACGTGGGTCATTTACAGGTATTATAATGTCTAAAAACGCGAGCCGTTGGCGAGCTATGGAAACAGGCTGCCAAATATCTCCCTCACACCCCCTCAATAATCTCACGGTTGTCCTTCCTCTCTTCCCATCTCCTCCACACCCAGCACCACTAAACCTATTCCGCATCGCAGGAAATATTGCCTCACGTGGGTGTTGCGAGGTTAAAGCTGCAGTACGATTTCAACCACATACCAGATCGAGGTGCCACAGCAGATAACACGACTTGTCAAGGACCCCGATAGTGATTATTACATGCTAAGCAACTTGTGAAGGACTGTGTTTAGGTACTGCTGATAACATGTTATGATAGCTCGTACAAGATGAATAGTTCGTGATGTATTAGTTGGCGTTCACTTCATCCCATCGCCAAGTCTAGTTTTGTTTCTCAACCGAGTGTCCTATTTGTATACAATACTGTACTTGAAGTTTCAAGACTTTAATTTCGTGTAGACTGTACGGGGAATGCAGTTTTTTTAATAGCTTCTGATATCCTGAGGCTCAGACTTTAAATCATGCCGTATTGTACGCTTGTAAAACGGGCTTTGTGAAAACGTTTGGTCATTCAAAATTCATTTTTAAAATGATTTACGTAGGTAGGGGTTTAGATTCAATATGGGTTCATACATACTTGCCAAGTTCATTATAAAAATTAATGTTCATTTTATATTTAATTTTGTTATTGAAGTGCATTTTATATTAAGAATGTCGTCGACCCCCTCCCCCCCACTGTGCGCAATTTGACCGTATACTACAATCATAATCACTACGGTCTCTGGAGCCGCCAGTATGGTCAAAATAGAGCATCTATCAGTAACAATAAAACTGCATAAGTTTCATTGATTAAATGTAAATTATCAGTTAATAAGCATTTTATTATGCTTATTATTATGCAATCGAGTCCAGTAGATTTGATTCACTTAAGTTAAATGTAGTGATTTAGTTTCTAGCATTTAAAAGAGAACAGTAGCACACAAATACGGGAGAATGAAGCAGTATCAAATTCGGCAGGATGGATTTCAAGGCTTTTCCGTTATAAAAAAAAAAAAAAAAACTTTTCCGTTAAACTTAAAAATAATCTTTTCACACAGTACAGTATTGGTTATCAACCTCTAGGCACGCCTAAACAAATACTTGTTGCACACTCCCAGAAACGTCTACTCATTCCTTACTTGAGCTGCTGCTGTACGCATGAGTAATCAGAACGTAAAATAGTTACGATCCTTTACCTGTTCATTCAGCTATTTGATTTTTGTATTTTCTCTTAATTTTCTTAAGTGTTTGTGTGAATAAATCGAAGATATGCTAAAGTACTTGTTTATATTGCAATATTAACAAAATTATATTTTTAAAGCAAATGAAGCTCGCTAATAAATATTTTAGTAGATATTGAAACTGATGGTAAGGAACTGATAACGTATATGCTGGGGGAAGGAATTTTGTAGGTTTTCTAATCTTGTTATTCATCGCTGCTGTTAGCGAGGTGCGGTGCTGCGACGCATTTTACAGGCATGCTGAAATCCATCCGCCTTCTGGAAATATTACCGAATTTCCCCTACCTGGCTTTGTTCAGCCATCTCCTAGAAATGTTATTCAAGTTTCCGAAGTTACCGGTATCTAAGCCACCTCGTGGACGTTTTTACCGCATTTCCAAGCTATTTAGACATTGTGGGGTCTATTGATATTTCGCCTTAAAAGGGGTTTATGCAAAGTAATTGTTGTAATCACTGAATGGATGGGCACAGTAAGACAACAAAACTAATTTCACTTGCTAACAAGCGTCACTTGACTTTTTCTGATATCGGGTTATCGACTGGTCTGGATTTTATGCTTATCTGATTGATTAGATTCGTTTCCATTACACCAAGTCATACGTTTGAATACATTCAAAGCTTATAATTTATTATTAGCCGTGCTATTTAGGGTCAAGATATTTGGAAGTGAATTTGAACGTGATTGGTTGTCGACACTAAGCTTGTTACCAAAATGTGTTCCTAGAATAAATACCTACGTATATTAATGGGTTAATGGGTCATTATATAAGTTAATCTTTAAAAATGCTAATTGTCTTTATATAATATATTTTCCATGGCTCTAACCCGCGTAATTGGGAAAACCTAGACTCAAACCCAGATTTTTTCCTTCAATACTCAATGTTGTGATGTAAGATTTTGAATTCTACACGAGCTCATGTTAAAGAATTTTTCAACGGTTCGGTTTTGGTTTGATATCAACCATTAAATATCTTGCGTATTTAGATATAAATGGTTTCCCCACAGTACATGTGCAGTGTAGCATATAAATATTTCAAAAAGGGGAACTGCCACTGAAGACTAATTTGAACCATAATCGGTAGCCCAGTGTGGGGGGGGGGGGGGGAAACCGTACACAAAGAGATGGTAAAATATGAGACCCAGGTGGCGGCCTTCAGCTCAGTAAATAGTGTGCTAATTATATTCAACATGTATTTATGTTTCCTCGTAGGCGAAGTGAAACTAGTTCAATAGTTTGTGATCTATCTATGGTAATAGGAACGGTGGTGTGTGCAGTTTAGTGTGAGGAAAGGGGGGTGTACAATAGCGTGAGGCAGAGATTGTGCGGGAGTCGACGCCAGTAAAGGTGGAGAAAGAGGAGAAGAGGCAGCAGCAGCAGCAGCAGACGGAGCCACCACCACCACCAAGACAGCCATACAATACAAACCCGGAGCCGCCGCCTCGCTTAACTGCAACTTTGTCACGTGTGGCGTCACTTTGTGTCGAATTGGCCACCATTACCGGCTCGGCTAATCCAGCACATGCATGATAGTGCAGCCAGGGCGAGATAGGCGTCAGTATTTGAGTGAGTAGAGACGGTGTATTCTCCCAGGGGTGCAATAATCACGGGACAACCCTGGCAGACAGAGGGAGACTGAAGCTTGGGGTCCACCGCCCTGTAAATCCTAACAAAGACGAACTGACAACCCTGCGCCGCCGCCCACCGCTGCCACGTCTCGCCACCTACACCATTAACTGCCATTATATATAAAATCATATCCCAAAAGTAGTGTAATTTTAATCATTGGGCGAGCTTGCATGTTTGAACAATCGAGAGGTACCGAATACAGTTTTGTTGGAATGGTTATATGATATAGTTAGGGGAAAATGACTGCGATCCAGTATGGTGGTATCATGGGCAGCATGTGCCCACATATATGTTATTAAGGGACAAGGCACTTGTTTATTCTGGCTCACGCTGTTGAACGCCAGCAGGTACAGCTTGTGTTGTGGAGCTGTTGTGCAACAGTTGGCGTAAATGAACCTTTTGTAAAAGCACCAGTCACCCTACTTAAGTCTAGGACCGTTTTTTTTTACACGAAATATTTACTCCTAGTCAGCAGCCAGCGTGTAGCAAACAACTTTTATACCTTGATTGGGCTCGTTATAAACAAATATGAATACTGCCGTTTTGTTTACGTTATTTGGGTAAAGAATTCACCTTTAAGAAACGTTGTTCAGCATTTACTTCTTTACAGAACAGTTGTAGCAAGCGCTAGTGCTTACCTTCGAAACTTGGCAAATGTCGAGCAAAGCGTGACAAAAACTGGCAGGTCTGCTGTCACTGGTTGAAAGCTGTGGTGCAGGTGTCCTAGATTATTGAATATCTTGTATTTTGGTTAGCACTGTTAAGTACTAAATTAGTAAATATTCTGGATTGAATATATCTTTGTGTAAACCATTGGTCATTTGATACGTGGCAAAACGTTGACGTATTGTGCGATATGGTGAACTTGGTTAAACTAAGATTTTTGAAACAAGACTAACCCTTTCATGGTCTTTATGGTAGCCGCAAAATACGAATGAGTCTAAGCGTGCTGATGAGCAAAAGCAAAAATGGTTTCAAATCAATGCAATATTTCCAATGCATTGGAAATATTATCTATATATATATATATTCCTGCTCGGGTTTTGAACCTCTGCAAATTCTTAAAATGCAAAATGCATCATTGTTTTGGTGAGGCATCAGTTGTATATATTCTATGGGTCCTTGACCTGAAAGGATGTGGTTGCCTCATGCTCGACATTCCCTTCATGCACGATAGACTATTTATTTTTCTTTGAACATGGAAGTTGCAAGTTTCGACCTTTCCCGCCTTTTGCTTATTTAGAAAGACATGGTTGCCGGTGATATTCCAAGGGAGGGAGGTGGGGGGAGGGCGATGTCCTTGTGAGAGGGGTTGGTGGGGGGTTGGAGGGAAGCATTAAGCTTGATCCTGGCGTTTCATGCATATTAATCTAGTGTGTGGACCATCTGATCACGGTTCCTGGTGGTGACGGTCTATGATCTATCACCGACACTGGCAAATTTAAGTGTCCCATATGCATTTATCGGAGATGCCACCCTGCTCCCTCAAAGTGTTAATTAAATTGAGCTATGATTTATATGCCTATGTAGAGCGGTCAGGATTGAGATGCCTTGTGAAGGTGAGTACACAATGGCACTACAAAATGTACCTAAAAATTTCTGCCTCATACAATCTAGTGGATGTTTTCTGACCAAATACATACATCGTAACTTATTGTATAAAAGTATGTGGTTACCGTATGACCTAATTTTTGTTTTTGCCGTTTTCATACAAATCCAATTCTACACTTCTGTACTTAGTTCTTTTTTTGTGAAATATGTGAAAAGAATGGACAAAACCGCCCATTCAGCAATGTCTGACCAACAGATATGTAGTTTAGCTAGTTTTCCTACAGGTGTTTTTTATAGAGCAGGCAGGATGCCCGCTGTTAGACTAGTTGACAGTGTGATTGAGCCGTCACTGTAAACATACATCCATGCTCGCGTGACCACAGTATTTACAGACAATTATTTCAAGTTACTGCTCTGAGTAAACTACACAATGTTTGTTAGCCCCCATAGATGATTATCACGCACTGCATTTAGTAAACTTGCTTAGCACTACACAAAAGAAACTAAGAGGTAAAACAAAATGAGGCCATAAGACCGGAAATAAAGGATGACGTTGCGAGCAAGAAACATCCCGAGATGGCTGGGGGATTTCCGTCATGTCCTTGGATTGGACATCGCACTCAATATACACATGCCAGAGACCACAACAACTGGTTTGATTCTCATAATTGGGGGAGAGGAAGCCTGTTTGGCTTACCGAGATCCCTCTAGGCCAGCTTACTGAGCTTCCCCAGAATGAAGCCCAGGTTTTTCAGCTAGGTGAAGAGAGGCATGAAGGTGAAGGGGAACTTGCTCAAAGGCGCTAGTGGAAAAAAGTTGAGTCATATAATGGGCTCGGGAACTGAACCCCCAAATTCATTTGGCTAAGCAAATAACAGTGTTAATTATTAAGCTAGTTACACAGGTTAATGGATATACTGTATCAAGAATCATTTATAGCACAGTTGGTTCAAGAACTGGACTACAGTAGTCTCTAAACGGGGCAGTTGCATCTGTGGAGAGTCAAGGTGCGCCAGTTACACATTTATTAATCATGCACCCATTCAAATGGCCTAGTAAGAGAGAAATACTGTACACTGAGAGGTGTACCTTGTCTCTCTTTGTATATTCACTGAGAAATTACTCAAGTCCTGAACTTTACGTGTAGGACTAAAGTATATTTCCTGGTTAGTCAGTAGGCTATTGTTGTGGCCTAGTAACCTTCATGCGGTTAACAGGCTTTAAACTCAGCACATAACCAAACTGCCAACTTTGTTTGGTATCTTTTATAATTACAATTTTTAAAAGAATTGTGGTTTTGTCAACTGAGGTTTGTTTATCAAAGGTTCAATAGTTATAAACTATTGGAATTTTTACCTAATAATTAAGACAGTTCAGGGGAAGTCATTATTTAATTTCATCTTAAAACATAGGTTTATTTTCTTGGTAGTATTTAATTACATAATATGAGCTTGTATAACTGGTCTGAATACTTTAAAGGTCAAGACAGATTACACTCACTCACACTTCAGTTAATATATGGAGTGTGTGTGTGTGTGTGTGTGTGTGTGTGTGTGTGTGTGTGTGTGTGTGTGTGTGTGTGTGTGTGTGTGTGTGTGTGTGTGTGTTTATGTGAGTGCAATGCATTTTCTTGATCTTTAAAATACTGCACTGTATTTAACCCAATTAAATCATAGTTCATGATTAGAAATTTTAGGCAGGTAGAACAATTCTTGTGAGATAGAAAATAATCATCAACTTTGTTCATAACAACTTACACAAATTGTACCAATTCTGGCTAGTCTGAACAGGTGTACAGCAGTGTAAAACAAGCACATTTTCAACAGGGGTATTTATGAAATAAAAGCATTGTTTAAACTGAGCAGGAGCATGATGAGGATGAGTCGTGGGGTTGTGTGGAAACATTTCTTCCCTGTAAAGCCAGTCAGCATAAGTGGAATGTATTCTAAAGGAAAGTGAGAGGCTATCTTGAGCCTAAGTTTTGAAAACTAATAGCACAGTTAACAAAATGGTCTGGAGATATTGCATACATATACATATGCACACACACGTGTGTTTATGTGGCTACAAGAGCTTAACTTGGGCAAGTGCAAAATGAAGAAGATAGGCATATCATATTTAGGAGCCGGTCGGCCGAGCGGATAGCACGCGGGGCTTGTGATCCTGTGGTCCTGGGTTCGATCCCAGGCGCCGGCGAGAAACAGTGGGCAGAGTTTCTTTCACCCTATGCCCCTGTTACCTAGCAGTAAAATAGGTACCTGGGTGTTAGCCAGCTGTCACGGGCTGCTTCCTGGGGGTGGAGGCCTGGTCGAGGACCGGGCCGCGGGGACACTAAAAGCCCCGAAATCATCTCAAGATAACCTCAAGATAGGCATAGGGAGAAAGAGGCCAAACATAAGGAATCAGTTGGGAGAGGAAATTCTTCAGGAGTCAGGATGAGAGAAAGATCTGGGGGTTGATATCACACCAGACCTTACCCATAAGCCCACATCAAAAGGATAACATCAGTGGCGTATGCAAGGCTGGCGAACATAAAAACTGCCTTCAGAAACTTGGGTATGGAATCATTCAGTACTTCTTGAGGTTATCTTGAGATGATTTCGGGGCTTAGTGTCCCTGCGGCCCGGTCCTCGACCAGGCCTCCTTTTTGTTACACACCCCTAGGAAGCAGCCTGTAGCAGCTGTCTAACTCCCAGGTACCTATTTTCTGCTAGGTAACAGGGGCATCAGGGTAAAAGAAACTTTTTGCCCATTTGTCTCTGCTTCCACCGGGGATCGAACCCGGAACCTCAGGACTACGAATCCGAAGCGCTGTCCACTTAGCTGTCAGGTGCCAGCCGAGATACAGAACCTTGTATGCCTCATGTCAGACCAATACTGGAATACAGTATACGGTTACAGCATGGAGTCCACATCTAGTCAAACACAAAACAAAGTTTGAAAAAGTTCAGAGGTATGCCACCAGGCTAGTCCCTGAGTTGAGAGGAATGAACTACCACAAAGAAAGATTACTGGAACTGAACTTCATGACACTGGAAGACAGAAGGGTTAGGGGATACATGATCACTGCCTATAAAATTTTCTGAGGAATTGACAGGGGTAGATAAAAATACTGTTTAACACGGGTGGGTACATGAACAAAGGGGCACATGTGGAAATTGAGTACCCAAATGAGTCACACGGGATGTTAGAAAGAACTTTTTCAGTGTTAGAGCAGTTAACAGGTGGAATGCATTAGGCAGTGATGTGGTGGAGGCAGATTCCATACAGTTTCAAATGTAGATATGATAGAGCCCAGTAGGCTCAGGAATCTTTACACCAGTTGATTGACAGTTGAGAGGCGGGACTAAAGAGCCAAAGCTCAACCCCACAAGCACAACTAGGTGAGTACATGTTGTATATGCACATGTGCATATACAACATGCACATATATAATACATATGCAAGTACACATGTACATATGTAGGTACACATGTACGTATGTAGGTACATATGTATGCATATGTGTGCACATCCTCAAAACACACACATTTCCTCATATTCTTTTAAACATTATGGGAGAAAAGGCAAAATGTCGCTTATTAAAGAAATTTTGCAACTACAGTACAGTATGTGCTGAATCGCCTGAGTAAACAGCTTCAAGGCCTATTAGGTAAGACACCTGAGTTGTAATTTTCTTGACCTTGAAACAAAAGCAGTTGTATCGTAAATTTAGGAAGGGTGAAAAGGTGCATAATATTCCTAAGATATGTCCCAAACTGACTTTACTTGATTTGCAAGTGTGGGCTTCAAAGTTATTGGTTTGTGTGAAACAGCTCTGCAAATCCCAACACATGGCTTCCCTAAATCATTATTATTATTATTATTATTTTTATAACAAAACATAGTTGGAAGGGAGTTCAAGAAATATAGCACTGGGATTGGATTACAGTGTTATTAACTTTGCTATTGTCTTGCTTCCATGTTTACGCTGGAAAAAATACAGTTAAGCTTGTATTTAAAAATAACATTCTTATGATTTTAAAAATCCTGCATTTGATGCAAATTACATTTCCAATTTTGCACATATATCTTATTTGTTAAAAGGTAAAAAGAATAGGATTAGTACAGGTATATTGCCTACAATTACCAAAATTTGATAAATATTTGTTGCTGTTTATCAGGACTACTGTTCTTGCTCTGTTTTATGGAATGTGTGAAAACAAAGTCCAAGGCCGCTCATTCAGTAATGTTTGACCAGCAGATATAAACAGTGCCAGCTAATGTGCAAAAGATATTACCTTTGAACACTACAATATTATGGAATTTTGACAATGGATCATAATTTACACTTGTTGATATTGAAAATGAGAACTTTAATTTACATTTCAAAATAACATTGTCCTGGTGAGAGAATGCAGAGAAAGTTTTAACAATATATTTAATAAAAAGTTGCAGTGCATAAGAAGAAAACAGTGGTTGAAGGGATAGCAATAATTTTCCTTTATAATGTGCACAGAAGTTGTAATATTTGTTTTAAAATGGTTTCTGCTCATCATTAAGTTATATATTGGGCAAGGATCATTCATTCATGCCTGCTTTGTTTTGTCAACTCATTATTGCAGCATACGAAGGCCTTTTCTTATTCAGAGTAAAAATATAATTGCTGTATTTTATTATACATTACTTTGTTATTAATACTGATATTTATTTTTTATAATTGTATAATTTCAGTGTGGAGACTTTGTAAATGCCGGAGCAAAGGAAATGATGACCCCTTCAGACGTTATTGCTGCAGCTGACATAACATTTTCCTGTGTATCTGATCCTCAGGTTGCCAAGAATGTAAGTTATTTGATTACATTTAACTCTGGTCTTGATTTGCACAGTACAGTATATAAAAATTTTCTCGGACAAATTACTGTACAATATATATATATTACTCAAAGCTGTAATAAATCTGGCTCATCATGCCTATTATACAGTATTGTGATCTTGCAAGTAGATAGAGTATTATTAAATTTTATGTATTTTATTCCTTCTCGTTATACTTTATGGATTTTGCCTGATTCAGTCTTGATAGTTTTTATTACATTTTGCAGAGTCAGAAATAAGGAATTTGCTAGTGTAGTAATAGTGGAGTATTATTTATAAAAACAGTGTTATGAAATGTTAGCCATGACAACTCATAATGGAGCTGGACTTAACTCCGATTGCAGTTGTGCTGCTGGGTGCTGAGCAGATTTTGCTCCCTAATTTCCATTCTCCTATGACTTTGACATTCCTTCTGTTGTGAGTGCTGGGCCAATTTTACCCTTGCTAGCATGTCACATCTGCCTAGTGTGGGTGGCTATTTCACATCTGCCTAGTGTGGGTGGCTGTGTCACATCTGTCCAGTGTGGGTGGCTAGAGATTGTTATTTGGAGTTGGTACTGGATTATCAGTGTTGTTATTATATTATCCATTTTAGAATCTGGGTCGTCTTCCTGATTTGAGTAAACCGTTTCATTATCAAAACCCAGGCGTTTCTAATATTTCAAGGCCTGTAATCTGGAGGTTACCTTGTGTATATAAACATTTCCACTTATAATTTACTTGTTACTTTTAAGTACTGTACTCTATGTACAGTACAGTACATAGTGATCCCTGTTAAATCAATGTTTTCCACCAACAGTATGTTACTGGCCAAATTTTTACTATGTAATATACAATTGTTCTTTTGGATTTTATGTATGATGCAACCAGCTTACTTTAAGACTTGCTCAAAATGCTGGGCTTATTGAGTGACTTTACACAAACGCATTCTATCGTAGCACATCGGTATACTGTACTGTTATTGTAAGTTCCCTTCTTTTGTATCTTCGTTTTTGTAATAAATCATTATCATTTCTGTTTCATAATGAACTAGAACACCATTTCCTAACTGATTAGTCATGGCAAATTTTCTGGTTGTAACATGGAGGGCTATCACTAGTATAATATATGGGGGTGTATAAATGACTTAACGTTCTCATCAACACTACCCATCGCTTCACACAACCTTGTGTGAAGCAATGGGTAGCAAGGCAAGCAAATCAAAGACAACTCCTATGAGTTGTCTTTATGAAAGAATGTGTCAAATATTCACTTGACAAATGTTCTCCATTTACCTTTATTTCCTGGAATTTCTTGTGTACCGTTTGCACTCAAGCCCCACTTCTTTGTGTACTCACTCGTCGTGTTTGTTCATTGTTTGGGGTCTCGTTACCTCCTCATACAGTACTTTCAAACTAACTCACTCAAATACACTTTCTTCCACTTTTATCATCATGATAAATTCCTCCGTCTTGTGATTTTTTTTTTCATTAAATTTAAATACAAATTCCACTGGGGAAACTTCAGTTGTATTTCTTTGATGATTGATATACAGGTATTCATAATGATGAATTCAATAAATGTTCCTGCATAAAGTTTACAAATTTTATTTTTCAGATGGTGTTTGGAAACTGTGGGGTCTTACAGGAGATATCTGCAGACAAAGGCTATGTTGAAATGACTGGCATAGATGCTGAAACATCTCAAGATATTGCTGAGGTAGGTATCGCATCCATCATTTAGGGATTCTTTCCAAGCCAATGTATGTCAAAACTACAGTACAGTATATAAAAGAGCAGCATTAAGTCGTGTCATTCATTTATACTGCAACCACTGTTTATATTTCTGAAATGGCAGCTCTTCATAGGCCTGTGAACAAATAATTCACAGCATGATACAGATAAATTTTATTTCAGTTGTCAGAATTCAGATGTACTGGAATCTGCATACAGTAGTAACTTTGTTGAACATGTTTTAGCTCAAAGCTCATTTTGAATGTATCTTAGATCAAAATTGCTTATACTGTAGGTTATTGATTGGAAGAGAACAGGAAATTATTTTGTTAAATTGATCAGTGTTGAATAAGGTGGGATTTGTAGTGGGAAAAGGATGTTTAGATCGGCAAATTGTATTCAAACAGCGTATAGAGAAGACAAGTGAGAAGGATTATGAGGTGTTCATTGTAGATATGGATTTTGAAAAAGCCTATGACAAAATGAATAGAGAAGGAATTTGTAGAGTGATTAGTATATATGGAACTGGCAGAGTGGTGGTAAATGTTGTGAATACGTTGTATGCAGATAGCAGTGCACATGTAAACATTAATGATGCTGCAGCTGCTGTGATTAATTGATTGATGAAGATTAAGCCACCCAAAAGGTGGCACGGGCATGAATAGCCCGTAAGTGGGGGCCCTTTTGAGCCATCACCAGTATCAGATAGATGATACTGGAGATCTGTGGAGGTGCAACTGCACCCTGCGTGACAAGAGATGTCTCCCATGAGCTGCTGTGGATGTCTGCTGGGGTGTGGTAATGTTTATCTGTGATGCTACATGTATATTGCATGGTATACAACATAATAAATGTTTGAATTGTATTTTTAATATTTTATTATGTACTGTAACATGAAAGTGCTTAGCAAAGGGGGCTGTAAATATAATTGTAAGTATATTGAAACAAGATTGAACTCTAAGAAGTGGATATAAAATGGAGAAGCTTAGTTTAAGAAATGACCTGGGTAATTATTGGTTTGGAAATTGGGTTGTTGAATTATGAAACAAATTACTGGGCAACATGAAAGATGCAAGACTGCAGAATGTTAAAAGATGTGGATCTCTGGAATGTTAACAAATGTGAGATTCCTGGAATGTTTCAGGTGTAGGCTAGACATGCAGTACATATATATGAATGAATTTGGGTGGATCTATATTATATGCATATAATTATATAGGATCTGCCTTGTATGGGAAAATTAAAATGGTAAATTAAATGATGATAATATATGTACATCCTGTATATTTAATCAGCAACTCATCAGAAAATAATTAAGAAAAAAGATATCTCTGATTATTTTGTAACTGCAGTTGCTAATTTTTTTTTTATAAAAAAAATAAGTTCACATGATACTTTTACTTTGATATACTGAGTAAGAGATATTGTCTCCTACCTTACTTCATAAATACTGTATCTAAAGTTTACTTTCATTACAGTTATGAAAAAGAAAATAGCTTACATGTGTTTAAAGTGATGACAAATATTATTTGATGTTAGGAGTTCTAATATTTCCTTATTTTTGTGTATTTTTTTTTTAGGCCATTGGAGGTCGAGGTGGGCGTTATCTTGAAGCTCAGGTGCAGGGCAGCAAAGTTCAAGCTGAGGAGGGCACCTTAGTTATCTTAGCAGCAGGAGACAGAACACTCTTTGATGACTGCCAGAGCTGTTTTCAAGCTATGGGCAAGAATTCCTTTTATTTAGGTAAGTTGTATTCTGCCTTTGATCTTGTGATGATTTCGGGGCTCACCGTCCCTGCGGCTCGGTCCTTGACCAGGCCTCCTCGTTGCTGTACCCACAGTACAATGTTTCAACAACTCTGGAAAGGATGGGCCAGGGAGAAATGTAATGATATACAATTTAAAAAAAAAATATTCCCGTCATTATACACGTACTGTCTAATGTTGCTTATTTTATTCTACAGCAAACTTCCCTTTGCTTCGTAGCAATATGTTCTGTGAGAATCTGTGCTAAACGGTGAAAAATATTATTTTGTTAGATATCTTGGTGAAAAAAACAGAATTCATACCACGACAAAGCCTTTTATTAAAGGAAAATGGTGGAGGTAGTCAGAGACAAGTCCAACTCCCAATTACATTAATAATTTCTTAGACTTTTGTAAAGGTAAATTTTTGTTATTTTCACCTATCATAGCATATTCCAATCTGAATTGTCTGAGATTGTGAAACATTAAATATTAATTCTATATTGCATTATTATGATTGACTTAAATCCAATAAATGTTTTGGATATTTTCTGTTATTTATATACAACTGTAAGGGGCCTGACAACTGAGTGGACAGTGCCTCGGATTCGTAGTCCTGAGGTTCCGGGTTCGATTCCTGGTGGAGGCAGAAACAAATGGGCAGAGTTTCTCTTTTTCCTGATGCCCCCTGTAACCTAGCAGTAAATAGATACCTGGGAGTTAGACAGCTGCTACGGGCTGCTTCCTGGGGGAGTGTAACAAAAAGGAGGCCTGGTCGAGGACTGGGTTGTGGGGACGCTAAGCCATGAAATCATCTGAAGATAACCTCAAGATAACCATGAATTGGTTATGCAGTACAAGAGTACAATATTACTTGAGGCAAAATATATGTGATGAATTATATAATCCCTAAGTTTGTTTATAATTAAATTACCGACTCCAAATGCCTCAGATATTTTATATATTTTTATTTTAATAAATTTTCTTGACATATGTGCCTTCTATAATAATGAGAGTTTGTCCTCTATATGTCTTTATATACTGCTGCTTCAGATAGTTTCTTTGCTCCTTGCCAATTGTCATTTGAACTTATTTATACCTTCTACAATAGGTGAAGTTGGAAATGCAAGCAAGATGAACCTCGTGCTGCAGGTAATGGCCGGAGTAACGTTAGCGGGGCTAGCAGAGGGAATGGCTTTAGCGGATCGGGCAGGTTTGCAGCAGAAAGATGTTATGGAAATCATGGAACTTACCTCACTGGCTTGTCCACTCATGATTGAGAAGGGCAAAGGTAATTTTGTTCACTGTTTTGTTCCTATTGTCTCTTAAAATGGTAATTGTTTTGTGTTGTGGTAAATATATCATACTCTTAACTGTTTTAGCTTGTAGAACTTTATTATTGTCGTGTGATTTTTAAACAGTGGTCTTTAAAATAATATTTTGTATAAAATAAATGAATCTTCTACTTTAACATTTTTAGATATGGTTAATACCAGATTTTCTATAAATTCTGATAACTATTATTTAAATTAAATATTTTAATATTATCCTTCATGATCATTGCATTGGTTTCCACATTCTTTGAGTGGTGGGGCATTTGTCTAGAGTTGTCAGACAATTTGGTGTGTTTGTTTATTTCTTAACACTTTTGCATTCCGGTGATGCTAAAATATTTATTCCGATTGATATTTACCAAACATTTATATAGTCATCACTATGAGTTGGTCAATGTACCCCATCTGTCTACTGGGGTCCCGGTTATTCTCAGTCCTCATGATCTTTAGTTATTTTTATTATGTATTATGTTATTCATAGTAATTCCATATGGGTACTTGTGAAAATACGTCAGTGAGGAAAGTAAAGACAATGCCCCTAATCCATTGATGGTTTATTTTTTGGTGCACTCTCATTAGTGCTATGTAGATACAATAGTGCAGAAGAAACACTATATACAATGTTAATTTTAAAGATTTTATTATTGTGCTCAGAGTTTGAAGATCATCTTTTTCACAGCAATTATTGAAGGAGGATTTCCGACGCACCTGCCACTCCAGCACATGCAGAAAGATCTGCGCTTAGGAATGCTCATGGGAGACATGCTGGAACTTCCACTTCCTCTTACAGCTGCTACAAATGAGGTTTTCAAACACGCAAAACGACTTGGATATGGGGAGCATGACGTTTCCAGTGTTTACATACGCACTCGATTCTAACAGAAACTGTAAGGATGATTTTGAATCTTTGTGGAAAGAAGAGTAAACCAAAAAGCATCTGTAAAACTGTGCACTAATCACTGTAATACAATTTTGCTTTACAGTACTTAGTAATTGGTGTAAATGTTCTCCATTACAGAACTTAAAATTTAATAATATACATTTATGCACTGAAAAAGAGCGTAAATGGTTAATTATATTATATATTTTTATATAATATTTATATATTATATATTATATAATTATATATATGATTAATATATTTGTCTCAAAGAAAATACTCCAGAGATTTTGACAGTGCGGATTTTGAGATGCTTTTTCTTACTATACGACTGACAAATACAATGTGCCGAGTGATGTTTTGCCAAGTACATACAGTCATTGGTGTCTAAAGTGACTGCCCAATGGACAGGTCAGTATATTGTGAGTTAACAGTGGAGGAAGAATTTAGGGGGTTTGTATAGTACCAGCTGTTGAAATTGATTTTAGGTTTCTTAGGCTTACCTTTGATGTCGGCCGAACTATCGACGAGTTTGCACATTCGGTGAGTCAGTCCTTACTCCTTCAGTCTATCTCTTTAGTCATTAAGTGTGAATGGTTTATTGGATGGATAGATATAATTCTCAGGTCATCACTAATTTGTCGATACACAGTATGCTAAGTAAAGAGAGACATGCAGATGTTAAGGCAATAAGTGAGACTTGATTTTATTATATTAAATAGAAAAGTATTTTCGCAATATTTGTGTTTTGTTATGTAAGTTTTACGTAAATCATTAAGGATGAAGTAGTTGAAAGAATGAAAAGTTTTTAAGCAGTGGGGATCTTGAAAATGTCATTGTGGCAGTTATTGTTCACTCATTAGTCATTATGGATGTTAAAATGCAAATGTTTTATTTTAAACATTAAGTTACATTGTATAAAAAATTAAATTGAGTGAATTTCCAAGTATTATGCAGTCCACATATGATTCCAGCTTCCACCCTCGAAGACATCATTCTTAAATAACTCGCTCTACTAATACACCCCCCACACAGTACAAAATTACCTGCACTCACTGTGTTCTGTACTAGTAGACTGTAATACTTGTATATAATTTCAGAAATTATAAGGACCAAGAGACATACTGTATTCAGATGTTTATATACTGTATAAAATTATTTCATAAAGGATGTTTAATTAATCATTATATTTGTTGTTGCTAAATTAGAGTATTACAAACAAAATTGAGTTGCCTTGCAATAAATATGATCATCCATAACATGAATTAGTTTCGTAATTGGTAATCTACCCCCCCCTACTGGCGCCCTTGTCTATACAAAGAAAATTGACATTGAATTACTGGTAGTATGAGATCCTGGAGCGTTTCCCCAAGAGGGTACTTTGTTGTTATTGTGTCTTGGTAAACCAGATGTTTCTGAGTTGGCCATGTTGTGCATTTGAGGGGAAAAGTTAAAATTTATAATTTTTAACATTAATTTAATCTATAATTTTGTCTTACTAAAACTGTGTAAGACTGAAATAAAATAATTTGCTAATGAGTAACTGTATTTTGTACTTTGATATTTACCTTTAGGTTCATTTTATTATATTTGTATTCCTTGGGTCTGTCACATAGTAAGAGAGTAAACTGTTCACACCATCCGTACACTCCCAGTTTTCTGGGGGAATAATGTTCCTTGAGACTTCATTCAAAACTAAACCTTAGCATTTTGTTAAGAATCACTAAGGAAAAATAGATGCATTTCTTGAGTCAGAATTTGATTATATGATAAAATAATAACCATTTCTAATGTTTCACTGTAAAAAATTTCAGGTTTCAATAGCTTTATTACAATAGCATTTAAATTGCAAGAATTTTTTGTTATGCTTTTAAAGGTGTTTAAAGGGCAAAAGTAAGAAAAGATTTTGCTGGAACTAACAACGCGCTTCTAAGCATTTAACCGAATTAACTGATAAGGCAAATTAAAATAGAAAAAAAATATTTTGCATAGAACCCATCTTAATTAAATCCACCACGTACAACTGAGTTTATTGTATAATTTTATGTGAAGGGAAGATGCCACGATTGAGATGTTTATTTAACAAATTTAAGTTAAGGGAGATTTTATAGCTCTTAGAGTAGGTAGGGAAATACTTTTCAACTATCTTTTTTATTTGCTCTATAGTAACCATAAGAGCTTCGTAATTCAGATTTTAGTAACGTGAATCTCTGAATATTCAGAATAAATTCACATTAGTTTTTTATTTTGCTTTTTTTTTTAACCTTTTAACTGAAATAGGAGTTAAAAATATGTAATAAATTAAAACTAGTTCGATTTCAATCAAACTTTTTTGACGAGTTGTAAATGAAAAGGGTTTCATCTGGTCCAGGTCACAGCATCGTAGCATTAATAGGAACGGAGAAAAAAAATATTGAATGTGTAAAAAAAATTTGAAAATGGTCAAAAATTAACATCAAACACAAGTGTCAACTGAAATCATGTCTATGACTCGGCTATCACAATAGCATATAATAAAAATATTTAATAATTAGTTTTATCCAAAAAAAAAAAAAGTTAAATTTTTTTTTATTTTTTTTTCTTTGTTTATCGGACGATTTGCATGAAACTTATACACCTGACTGCACGTAAGCCTATCTGTAAGGGTGCCAATTTTGGAGGAAATTGGTTGATGTCAACCTCAGCCACAGATGGCAGAACCTTAGACTTTATTTTTTACTTATTTATTTTCAAGTAACATAAACGTTCCTATAACTCTTTCATTTTTTATTCAATTTACATGAAACTTACACCTTATATGTAGAGTTTATGTTTCTACAATCTGTTTGAAGCTTTTTTTTCCTAAGTTCATTTATTGATTTTATAATAGTAATAAACCATGATATATTTGCATAATTTTTTTATGGAACTTTGACTATTTGTATTAGTAAAACTAAACATATTTTGGAAAATCCGCTGAATCAGATCCTTTATTATATGCTAATGTGATAGAAGAGTGTCATAGAAATGATTTCATTTGAAACTTGTGGTTGTAGTTTCGATTTGAAAATGTGTAAAATTCGTTGAAAAAAAAAATATATCCCTTTCTATTTAGGCTGCAATACTGAATCTTGGCACAATTGCAGCCCTTTTCATACACAACTAGTCAAAAAAGATTTGTTGACATTGAACAACTTTTAATAAACTAGCTCATTATGACCCCCTTAAGAATGTTTGCATGTTGCCTTGAAGCTTTCATCACCTACATACAGTATGTTTGAAAAAGGAGAGTTACACTCATATCCTTCATGTTGATGATTAGAATCATTTTAAATAATTATTAGGTGGGGGGAACCTTGAACATCATCTTGACATTGAATACTCAGTCAATAAAGTTGTATACAAATCTCCTTGCCATTATACTGTTAACTTCCGGATAGCTCCAAAACTTGGACATTTTGGCAAGATCTTTAACAATTTCTAAATAACAAGACCAAGTTTTCCTGTTGGTAAGCAGGTACTGTTAAGCTATGTGGTTATAAGAGAGCTTCGGGGTCCAGGGACTATTCCATTTGTCAACGAGAACTTGGCCTTAGTGGCCAGATATTTATGTCAAAAACAAAAGTAACTGTGCCTGACGTAAGCAAATTAGGAATGTCAAGAAGTAATACTATCCAATGTATGCAAAACAAATTTCATAGCTCCATCTCTCTCTGCAGTGGGAGGGGGTGAGATATCTTATACATATTGTGTTGTGCTGCTTGAATGGTTATCTTTGCCTAATCTATTAAATAATATTTAATCCAGCTGTATAAATGTGTGTGTTTGAATGGGAAAATTTTCCTATGAATGAACAATGGCTAAATATGACATTCTTTTGGTGTTTCACACACACTCGTCATGACAACGGATCAGATGCACTCCTAAACTCACATGCCAATACTTTTAATATAGCCTACTGTATATATCCCATACAAGTGTACCTGCATTTTTGATTCGGTGCATATCTGATTATTGATGAGGAAGCACTGGGCGATGCCTGACAATTTATATCGTGATTTGACGTTTATTCACACGACTATTTACCTATTAAAATACCTAATAATGCCGTATAAATTCATTATTCAATAGATAAGAAAACATACAATCATCTAGGCCAGTGACTCCCAAACCTTTGTTGTTCTGCCCCCGCCCCCCCATCCCTTGGGTCATTTAACTCGTCTAGTGCCCACTACTCCATTTTGTACCTCAAATGATGTTTTTATGATCTATTTTTAAACCAGAAGGTAGAATAATCAATTCTGATCATCCAGAAACCAATCTTAGAGCATATACATTTTCTACCGGGATTCGAATCTGGAACCTCAAGCTTAACAGCCAGATAGTTTAACCAATGTTGATAAATTAACAGTGATTAAATATGCAACCCATTTTATGGAAGACTCTAATAAAACAAAAAAAATTTTGACTGTTGCATTAGTATATTTGCAAGTTTATTAAAAATTTGATACACCAGATTCACAGTCTAAAAATAATTTAAACATTACAAATTAAGGGAATTAAAGCCCCAGTTGTAAATGGAATTCAATCCAAAATCTTAAAAGGAACTAACCAAGGAATTCTTAGTCAGGAAATCTCTGGACCAAGGGGAAGTCCCTTTAGATTAGAAATATGCAAATTTCACCCCTATCTTCAAGAAAGAGAGAGGCAGAAAGCTCAGCAGAAAACTATTGATCAATTAGCCAAACATCATATCTGCAAGCTCACGAAGAGAATCCTATGGTGGGGGTTAATCATTCACCATCTCTCGGTGCACAATCTAGTAAAATCGGCACTACATAATTTTGTTAAAAATAAATCTTGCCTTACTGTCCTGCTCACTTTTTTTTATTGGAAACGGCCACCTTGCTCCCGGATAATATCTCTGTCACCAGGAATCTCCTGCTCTCTGTCCACCCACCTCTTGGCAACTGTGTGTTTTTATATTAAACTGGTACACAGCAATGTGCTGCTGCTTTATTCTATACAAGAGATTACAGAGTTGATAACAGTCTCTCCGTCTTTGTCATAAGTTCCAAGTCTCCCTCCCTCTCGACCCGTGTATATTCTATTCAGAACTGAGAACCCGCAGTGGGACCCTTCATCGTAAACAGTAGACAAAGAGTGAATTAGCAGACAACTACACACACATTAGCTTAACCTCATACATCTGCAAGCTGGAGAGAATCATTCACAATTATGTAAAAGCATAAGAACATGGGCTTGTAAATACAAATGTTTTAGAGAGTGGGAGCAGCAGCTGCCACCACTCATGCCTCCTGGTGCCCCCTTTCTCCACAGTGCTCCGAGTGCCCTCTATGGGGGTTACCTTGAGGTGTTTCCGGGGCTTAGCGTCCCCGCGGCCCGGTTTCAACCAGGCCTCCAGGTTGGTGCCACCCACTTTGGGAATCTGATTTAGGCTATACATATTTAACTGTAAGGTACAATATATGATGGTATGTGACAACACACACACATTGGCTGTTATTACAATTTGAATCATTTAAATACTGTACTGTACTATTGTTTTCAATGTTTAATCATGTAGTTATTTACCCCAGTCAATTGCACATTTGCCATACTACACATTTTAGGCAAGCAAAAATTGTCATTGATGGTATGTAACCATCTGCAAAGACACCTCTCAAATTGAACACATACACAGCTACAAACATATGGCTGTGTCAAGTACAGTACTGTACATATAAAATATAGCATGTTGACCAGACCACACACTAGAAGGTGAAGGGACGACGACATTTCGGTCCGTCCTGGACCATTCTCAAGTCGATTGTGAATGGTCCGGGACGGACCGAAACGTCGTCGTCCCTTCACCTTCTAGTGTGTGGTCTGGTCAACATACTTTAGCTACGTTATTGTGACTCATCGTCTGCATAAAATATAGCATTCTGGAATTCTGTTTCAAACAGAAACCAATTCTTTGGAATGCCAAATACAATGAAATCATTAACTCCCTGTGGTTGACTGAATTTGCTAGAAAATAAGAAATTTTTATATAAAGTGTGTGTTCACGAACTGGAATTCATCCAAAATAAAACTTGAGCATCTACTCGTTCACACTACTGTTCACAAAATATTCCAGATGCTTAAGCATATCTTTTCAGTTGCCTACATGCAATATAAACCATTATCAAGTACTGCTTTCTCCTCACTTGTTGTCATTTACTTTCAATCTCCTCTCTCCCTCCCAATCCAGTCGTCACAATCTTTAACTTGGTTGTTGTATCAGTAATACAAATTGCAATACTGTAAAATTTTCAGCTATGTAAATCTTCTGGTTGTTTTAACTTTTAAGGTGCAGTTATCATCATTTGTGGATTTTTGTTACTATTGTCTGGTTTATATACCCCCATGATGTTAATAAGGGTATAGAACACCTATAAAGATGTAATGGAGTTAACCAAGATCCATGAAAAATATTATGCTATCTGATTTAATTGTTGACTATGGTACGAGGCCATACTTTAAATGTACTAGTGGTCTGTGATTATTGTCAAATCACAATTTGT